GGAGGGTGGGGAGACCCCTGTCCCTCTCCTTGGCTGTGGTGCTGTGGGGGTGGGGGTGGCCCTGGTGATTTGGGAAACTCCCTGAATCGCACTTGTGGGCTCAGTCCTCCGCCGTCTGTGGGCGGCCTCAGAAGAGCGAGGCCCCACATTCGATGCCTCCTGCCAAGTGAGGCTGTGCTGAAGACGCTCCCTGAGAAGAAAGATGTGCCAGAGTGCAGCCATGTTTCTTCTCAGAGGAAACCTTTGCCCCTGCCTCGTCCCCTTGAGAGAAGAAACACCCCAATCGTCCAGATTTAGGGGGGGCTGCTCGGGGCCAAGGGCTGGTTAGCTGCTCAAGATTAACTCACCTCAGAGGACTGTGTTATGTGGTGCCCTCTGCTGGCGGGTCGTGGTCTTCACGCTCGTGAGAGCTGGCTAAAATGGAGGTTTCTTTCTTCCAGACACAATCAATCATCCACAGGGTGTTGAGCGCCTCTCAGCAGATGTGCCCGGTAAGTCTGAAAGCGCTGGTCAGCTCACAGTGCCACCATGACCCACTTCACCAAGGACTGAATTCTCTAGTCCCAGAGTCAGTGAGAAAGCAGTTTAGCAAGGGAATGGAGACACTGGGGTGGGCACTCTGCTCAGGAGACGTGGAATGAAACTCTCCTTGGGACAGCAGAGAGCCTGGAGAAGGCTGCACTCACCCAGTGGCCCCAGAGGCAGGTCCCCTAGGGACCAGCAGGAAAACGGGTCCTTCTGTCACTAGGAGGGGAGTGCCGTGGTCCAGCATCTGGGGAGGAGGCCCTGGATCCTGAGGAAGAGCCCAAGGGTGTCACTGCTGCTCGCAGGAGTAAGCTGCTGCTCCTCCTCCTGCCAGTGCTGAGCAGACGGGAGGCCTGGAGTGGGTGGGGCTGCCTGTGCAGAGGTTGAGGGGCTGGTGACCACGACGGGGTCCAGAACATGGCAGGAAGTCCCACCAAGGCTGACATGAGAAGGAAGGTGATGGCGAATCCAAGGGCTGAAGCCTCACGACCTCAGTGTCACAGCGGAGCATCCCCTCTGGAATGTGTGGGGCATGCGTGTGTGTCACTCCCACCTGAATTTCCTGGTCTCTTTTCCACAGAATCCCTTAGTCCCACCTCCGGCATATCCCAACCCAGCCTACGTGAGTGTGCTCCAGGGAGGGCGGGGGTGTGGTTTGCGGTGGGCAGGGCGGGAGGCGAGGGGCAATGACAACAGTGAGGCATCCTCCAGTGGCTGAAGTTCCTCAAACATCCGAGTAAACGAGGAGACTATTGACAGGAGCTTCTCCTTTAAAACTGTCCCTTCCCCCATGAGCATATATGCGGCCTCCCCTCTCAGCCCAGTGTCCTGTCATGTGTGGCCAAAGGTCTTTTCGTGACAGTTTAAACTCATTCATGTGAGGAAAACTGGAAAGTTTTCCTCTGGAATTTACTGAAACAAATAAAGATAACTAGGATTTCCTTCTTGGAAATATATTACTCACAGGCACGGTTGTCAAACCCTGTTGACAGTACAAATTCATAGAAATCGGTACTAAGGTTCCCCCTGCAGTGGCTGCTGCTCTGTCTCCTGGGGCTGACCTGGCCCTCTCCTCCCAACAGACGCTGCCTTTCTTCACCAGCATCCCGGGTGGGCTGTACCCCTCCAAGAGCATCATCGTCTGGGGCACCGTCCTGCCCAGTGCTCAGAGGTAACCCAGTGCTCTCGGGGAGGAGAGACGGCCCAAGGTCCTTATGGCCATCCCCCTGGCTCTGGGCCAGGGGCCCAGAGCTCAGTGGGCAGAGGAGGTCCACGTGAGCTTCCCACCCCCAGGTTCCACATCAACCTGCGCTCTGGGAGTGACATCGCCTTCCACCTGAACATTCGTTTCGATGAGAACGCCGTGGTCCGCAACACGCAGATCAACGGCTCTTGGGGGCCTGAGGAGCGAAGCCTGTCAGGAAAAATGCCCTTCACCCAGGGCCAGAGCTTCTCAGTAAGCTGCCGCTCAGAGGGGCTCTCACACGGCAAACGGAGCAGGGGGCAGGGGCGCTGGGGGCCCCTGGATTGAGATGGGAGCTGATGACTCTGGGTGAGGGCTGGGCCCAGAAGAAGAGAAAGTGCTCAACCCATTGTTGTTATGATTTTCCTACTTCTGTCCCACACACGGCTGGTGGGGGCTCTGCTGTTTACATGTGAGGAAACAGACTCACAATGCAGGTTACTCGCCTGAGGTCACACAGCAGATCAGCACCAGATGGAACCCAAGAATGAGGTGTCCTTCCTCTATCCACTCACTCACTCACTCACTCATTCAGTCAACAGTCATTTCTCAGCTGTTCTATCAGGGCCCACGTTGTGTAGGAAGTGCCCCAGGAGCTGGGGGACAGCCACGAAGCAGACAGACGAGGTCCTGCGCCCAGGGAGTTGACAGTTCAGGTGGGAGAGGAACAAGGACACAGATGCTTGGACAGGTCCTTGCAGATGACAGCAGGTTCTCTGCAGAAGGCAACACAGAATAAGGGGACAAAGTGAGCCCGGGGGCAGGGGCCGCGCTGCCTTAGACGGGGACAGCTCTCCGAGGAGGCCACCGTGCAGCTGAGACCTCAATGGTAGAAGGACCCCACCTCCCAGAGATCTGCGGGGTGCATTCAGGCGGGCAGCGGAGGGAGCAGCTGTTTTTGCAAAGGCAGAGAGTCATGGGCGTGGCCCTGTCCTGGAACTGGGGATCCAGGGGCTTCCCCGGAGCGAGTGGGACAGAGAGTTGTGGGTGGCACAGCTGAGGCCCGGCTCACTCAGAGCAGGTGTTCTCAGCCTTGACTACGCAGTCAAATCCCCTGAGGAGCTTAAAGAAGAAAAATCAATGCCTTTGCCTGGCCTGTTCCAATGAGGGGGTGAGCCTGGGATTCTATATTTTTAAATACGCGCTGACACGCTTCCCCCAGGGTTGAAAATGACTGATATAGGGCCTTGAGGGCCATGGAAAGGAGTTTGGATTTTAATACAGTGTGTTGGTGTGTGTCAAACCAGAGAGCCATGTACTTGGATTTATAGATAGCTGTGTGACTTTGAGCAAGTGACTTACCTGCTCTGTGCCTCAGTTTCCTCATCTAGAAAGTGGGCTAATAATAACATCATCTCATAGAAATGTGAGAATGAAGTGCAATCATGTTTATGACATGCTGAGGACAGTGTCTGGTGTGCAGTAAGTGTGCGAGGGTCAACTAGTGTGATGGGGGTGATGACATTTTCACAGACGTGCTCTGACAGCCTCCTGGAGAATGTTTGGGGTGGAAAAGACAAGTTAGGAGACTGCCGCTACAGGAGTGTGGGCACGGAGCACTTCTGTGGTCCGGGTACTAGGCACGTAGATGGCAGAAGCCAGCATTCCTGCCCCTGGAGGCTCAGGGTCCAGCTGGAGAATGAGGATGGGGGTGGGGGCCATGGCCTGAGGGGGCACCTGACTGGACTAGGAGGGCGTCAGGAGGTGGGGAAGGCAGGGAAGGCTCGCCTTCCTGGAGGAAAGGGGGAGAATCCTGTAGGGTGATTAGAGTTATCCCTGTGGGCCAGGTGTGCAGAGTGGGGAGCAGAAGGGGAAGGGCATTCTGGGCAGAGGGAACAGAATATGCAAAAGTACAGGCAGGAGAGCACGAGGCGTGTTTAGTGAAGAACGAATCCTTCGGAGTGGCTAGAGGGCAGGCGTGGGCCTGCTTGACTAATGTTTGAGGAAGGCAGGAAGGAGGGAGGGAGACAAGAGTCTGCATTTAGGGTTGAGGGCTTTCCAAGCGGAGTGCAAATGACATGGCCTCTCCGTCCAGGTGTGGATCCTGTGTGAAGGCCACTGCCTCAGGGTGGCCGTGAATGGTGGGCACCTGTGTGAATACCACCACCGCCTGAGGAACCTGCCTGCCATCAAATACCTGGAGGTGGGGGGCGACATCCAGCTGAGCCACTTGCAGACATAGGTGGGATCCCTGCCCTGGGGACGGGGCTGGGGCATGTTGCTGTCCAGACTGCTCATCACCTCCACCTTCCCCGTCCCTGCCCCAGCCAAGCCCTTCCCAGCCTGCCGAGGATCTCTGCTGGGGAGACCCCGTCCTTGTCTGGCCCTGCTGAGGCTGCAGCCAGCCTGGAGTGGCGAGGGCAGCTGGCTGGGACTGCCTCCCTCGGTTGGGGCGGGACCTGGGGCTCCAGCAGCCCAAGTCCTACCATCCGAGGAGAGGGGTGGTCCGTGCAGGCTGAAGCCCTGTGGTCAGTCCCCTCGGCAGAAAGGGAGGTCCTGGGCCTTCCCAAGCACCCGGCCCAGGCCTACACCCCATCTGCCCTTCAACGACATTCCCACCCCACTCAGCTCCACCTCAGTCTCAGGCCACCAGCTGTGCCCTCCACGGGGGAGGCGGTGTCCTCGGCCCCTCCCCGTTCTCCCACCTTCCGCCTCTCCCGCACCTGCACCCTCCCTTCCACCCTCCAGGAAAGCTGCCCTGAGGACACCCCGCTGGTTTCCACCAACTCACGGGACCTTCCCAGCAGGGGCTCTCCCCTTCCCTGTGTCCTTCAGAGAAATAGAAGACTGCTTCTTGGCACACGTGTGCGGGATGATTGCGGTTTATTATGTGTTTGGAGACATCTTGGAGTCTCTGGAATTGGGGAGGTACTGGCTGAGGGGCGGGGGAGGAGAGAGTGTGGGCTCATTTTGATGGGGGGGTCCTGACATCCACACCTGCTCCCAGTGGGTCCCCCAAAACTCCAAAAGGGTGTGGGAGAAGGCAGACCAGGCTCAGGCCTCTTGGGCAGGAATCTGTGACGCAGGAAGCTTGGGAACAGAGGGGAACCCGAGAAACAGCCCCATGCTCCCGAGACAGGCCAAGGGCTGGGCCTGAGCCCGTGGGGGCCGAGGCAGGGCCAGGAGGCCAGATGGCAGGGCCAGCTCCTCAGAACCCTGTGTCCCAGCAGGAGGAGGTGGCAGTGCGATCAGGAGAATCTGACTCAGAAGAGAGGCCTGTTTGTGGGGTTCCACTGTGGGGCCCCCGGCCTTAGTGGTGGGGTGTGGTGGGGAAGTGGCTCAGTGTGTGGGGTTCTGCCAGCCGCTGGGCCAGTGCAGGGGGCCAGTCTCTGGGTCCATATGCTGCCGGCACGTCCTGCCCCCTCCCACAAGAACCTAGGGCCTCGGGCACCAGGCTGGGGCTCAGGGCGCAGTCCTCAGAGCAGCAGCACCAGACTCCTGGGAGCTTGTTAGAAATGCAGAAGCCCGGGCCCCGGGGCAGCTGTCCTGAATCAGCGTCTGCACTGTAACCAGACCCCAGGGGGTTTGTGTGACGTTACAGTGTGAGGGGCCCCGGGCTATGTGACCGCATTCTTGACCACGTCCCGGGTGCACTGCTGGGACACTGGAGGTTGGCATGTCCTTCCCCTCATCTGAGGAGGAGCGGGGAGGGGGAAGTGGGCAGGGAGCCAATGACACAGAGGCCAAAGCCGAGCTGGGGGCCAGATTTTGCCAGACCCCCACTTCACCCCTGGCTGAGTCCTTCGTGTCCTCACGGGAGAAGGGACATGGCTCCGTCCCCTGAGGAGGCTTCCCCAGGGAAGACGTGTGTCCTCACTCCCTGCCGAGTCCTGGACACGCAGCCCGACCTCACCTGCTTTCTCACCAGGTGCCAATGTTATTGGCCAAACCCTCATGACACAGGTGGCCCCAGAGCAAACACGGTGACTTCCTGGGACAGGGCTGTGGCCCAGACCCTCGCTGGAGAACGGGCCTCGTGGGCAGCATGGCACCTCCATGGCCCCGTGTGAGCCTGTGCTCCCGCCCCCGTCCCAGGCTGTCACATGTGCACACAGCTCCACGTGCTGCCCCCACCTGGTGGCATCTCAGAGAAGCAGCATGGCCACACGGGAATGTCCCGTTGTGGGGGATTTATGTCCAGATGTGGCCCCCACAAGTCCCCAGTGCTATATTATTTAGGGCTGCTTTCCCTACAAAACACCCCCACACACACGTGGTTAAAATAAAATGCATTTCATATAAATATCTCCATCAAGGAGTCATACTGGGAAGGCTCAAGTGGCCGTCAGGAGCCGACTGGGTTTTTTTTTAAATACAGAGACATAAATAACTGTCCATGGGGCAGGAAATACAGAGTCGTGCGACAGCGCCTCCTGGTGGTCAATCCAAGAGGAACAATCAGAAGCTGACTGACTTGGCACTGCAGGTTTTGTGTCCAAGGGACCAGGGAGGCCCCAACTCTCCATTGTCTGGGGAATGGTGGAATCAAGGGAGACAAAAGCTTCCACTCCGTCCAGGCTGCTACTTGGCAGCAGGTTATGTAAAGAGTTGAGGGGAAGGAGATGGGGAAATAAGATGTGAGGCTTGGGGATATAATTTCCCTCCATTTCTTGAGGCCGTAATCCAGAGTTGGCTCTGTCATTAAATCCTGTGGCGGCAGCTTTAACTGTTCCTGTGGGCTGATGGCGCTCTGGGATCGCTAGGATGCCCTGCGGCCCCATCCTTTTTCAGCCTGTAGGGAACCACAGCACCAAAGATGTCTTCGTGGTAGCGCTTCTGGCTCTTTAAGGGAAAACAGAGACCAATGTGTCAGCTCTGCTGGTCCAGCTGCCTCTCATTCATCAGGTCCAGGCTGGACGAGGCCCTGGGGTTCCCCGCTTCCCTACCACACGTACACTCAGGAGCCATTTCCCTTCCCACCGCCGTGCTTAGATTATGCTTGACCTCGCCTGGGCTCTTCCTTCCCATCAGCACCTGCTCTGGTCTGGACCATCTAAACATCTCCTCAGGCTCCATGACAGACAGTAAAGCCTGCCTAGTGCTCGTCCCATCAGATGCTCCAGGTGATGTGGGCTCTGAGATCAATATGTTTGGGAGATGCTGTGTACTTGCTCCCAGGCTTGAAGTGTCATGATGCACATAGCATGTTAGAGGCTCTGACAAGTCTTGTAGTAAAGCAAGACGTTTGCCTCTGTTGAGCTGAGCAACCAGACGGGGACGCACACTCAGGCCTCTCACTGCCCGTCCAGCTCTGACCTCCAGCCGCCTCTAGGATTCCTTTGGGTCCAGGACTGTTCTGAGCCTGACTCTAGAGTCCTGGCTCCCTGGCCCCGTGCCCTTGACCTCCATCCCTAGCCCACACACCAGGCGCTCTACCTTAAGCTGGAAGAAATAGTCCTCGACCTGCTCCTCACTCAGGCTCAGCTTGGCAGCCACCAGCTGCTTCAGGGTGTGGGCCACGTCCCGGGCCATGCGCACGTCCCCGCAGACATAGAGGTGGCCATGCTCCTCATGGAGCACGCGGAGCACCTCACCAGCCAGCTGCTGTCGCAGGATGTCTTGAACGTAGACCTGAAACCAGAGGAGACGGTGGGTCCAGGCCCTGCTGCTGGGACGAAGCTTGTAGTCAGGCCTGCTGGCCACGGGGAGGCGGGCAGCGGGCACGATGGGCTGCACCCTCAGGTGCAGGGTGAGCACCGTCCCATCCAGGACCTCACACGGGACCAGGCTTGGGATGAGGAGGTGCACTGACACCCTGCCTGGCGTAGGCCTGGTCTGGGGCTGGAGAGATGGACGTTGGCCACGAGAAGCTGACTGTCCAGTGGGGCTCCCAGACTTAACTCAGAATTGTCCATGCTGCAAAGAGCCATCACTCCAGCCACTTCCCCTGCCCAGTGAGGCCCAGCTGCCTGCTCCCCACAGAGGGGGGCCTCAGTGCAGACAGTCTGTGGGATCCCCACTGTCATTCAGAACAGGGCACAGAGCCCTGGGCTCCCCAGTTACACAGAAGTCAGGAGTCCATCGGGGACTCTCTGTTCTTGTTCCACACAAGATGCCCAGTGACCCCAGCAATGGCATGGAGCTCTGGGTCGGGGAGGAGCTCTGATGGGGCAAGTTCACAAGGGCTGAGCCAAGAGTCTGTCCTGACTCCCCAGGCTCCTGGGGCAAAGTGACCCCTGGGGCAGCAGAGCCCGTCATTGGCTGTGTCTGAGCAGCCACTTCCCTCCAGCCTTGCTGTGCTTGAGCGTGAAGTTGGCCTGGACCACCTCTCCCCAGGCAGCCATGTATCCCGGGAGGAGGACCTTCAGGGGGCTGGGCACTGGGAATTGACCCACTGGGTGACCCTGACTTAGTCCTGAACGTCTCGGGGCCTGTCTCTTCTCCTGGAAGAGTGAACATAATATCTAACGTCTTCCCCTTTAGAGCTGAGGAGACGAAGGCTCAGAGAGGCGAGGGGCTTGTTGGGAGCCAGGGCACCCCCTATAGCCTTTGCTTTGAATGCTCCCCTCACTGCGTGGGCAGCTGCTGCATTTACCTTGGGCTGCCCAGGCAGGCGAGAATAGGCCGTGTGCACTTGATGCAGCACCCCCTTCTGGGCCATCTCCAGCATCTCTTCCCGATAGAGGTGGTCCTCATCTGGGTGGCGGCACCCGAACACCAGGGTCATGCGGCCACCTTGGAGCCCTGCAAGACCCAGTGGGCTGCAGTTACCAGGGTGGCCACCAGAGGGCGGGCCATGGCTCAAGGCCTGAGGAGCTGGATGCCCAACTTGAAAATTCATTTCATCCCCACAAGCATCTGATCTAGTATTGTCCCCACTTTACAGATGAGGAAACTGAGCCCAGGGCGTTCAGATCACTCATCCACACAGGCTGAGGGAAACTTGGGAGAGGGGCCAGGAAATGTTTGTGGGGCGGTGGCACAACTCTCCCACAGCTCCAGTTCTGCTCCCAGGCAGGTGCTGGCCAAGGGTGCCCCCTCCCCAGGCCCCGCAAACCCTCCAGCTGTACCTTTGTGCTTGGTGTCATGGAGCCGCTGCTGCCAGAAACTGCGGAAGGGGGCGATGCCCGTGCCAGGCCCGATGAGGATGCAAGGATGGGAGGGGTCCTCGGGGAGCTGAAAGCCGCTGGCACTGAAGGGGAGAGAGGAGAGAGGCCCCAGTCCTCAGACACCCTGGCCTGATGCACAGGCACAACAGGGGCTGGGGGGCTGGGGGTGTGGTTGGGGGAGGTGGTGTTGGGATGGGGAGAGGACAACGAGCTCAAATTAGATTTCCCCAGTCCTGCAGGCTGCTTCATTCCCCTGTCCAGCCACGCAGTCACCTCACCCTGGGGCCTTGTGAGAAAGGGCTGAGCCTCATTGTTCTCTGGCCCCACCAGCACTGCATCTCTATCCCTGCTAGAGACTTGGCCACACTCTGTAGCAGGGGATAGAATGGAGAGGCCCAGTGTGAGCCCAATGCCTTCTTCATGGACCAAGGGGCCCAGAGTGGCACCTAAACTAAACCCCAGATCCCTCCCGTTCAACCCAGAACTCCCGTGGGCCCGTGGGCCCACAATGGACAGAGTGTGCATGGTGCTTACCTTCGCACAAAGCAGGGCACCGGGTCTTGGGGCTTCAGGCTGCTGAGCCATGTGCTGCAGACGCCGTGGTGCAGGGGACCCTGGCCATCTGCAAGGACAGTACAGACCTGACCAACATCGCCCCCTAGCGCCTGTGCAGGGCCGTCCCAGCGCCTCCTCCAACAGCCCGCTCAGGTGCTCTGTCAGCTTTACTGAGGGGGCTGGTTTTCTCCTGGTTCTGAGATACACTCTCCATGCTCCCAGAGCTCGTGAAAGCTGGAAGGGACTTAGAGAGCGCGCAAGCCTCTCCTGTTGCCAGTGCAGAAACCGAGTCTCGGAGAGGAAAAGTGACTTGGTCACTCAGGCAGCAGTAGAGGCAGGTCACAGCTCAGCTTCCCTGACTCCTACTCCAATGCTGCCTCTAAGAGTTTCTCCAGGGACCCACCCAGCCCACCACTCAGCTCTGATGACAGTAGCATAATGTGGCCCCTCAGGGTGGCCACAGTCACTGCCCCAGAGTGTCTCCAGGAGTATAGCCCTTGCTGGTAGGGACCCTGGGTGATGGACAACCTCCTGAGCATTCGGTCCTCTCAGGCGTCTCTCTGTCTCCCCCAGTGGCCCCTCCTGGGCTTGTGGAAACCCCGCCTTTCTCTGGGTTACATTCCCTTCCCAATGGCCCAGTATTAAAGGGGACCTCCCAACAACTTAAGAAGACCCTTTGGTTTTCCTCTGCATGGAATCTTGCTCTCACAGGATGTGCCTGCCTCTCCTCTCCTGGTTTGAGGATGAAGATTTGGCCTCGGCGTATGTTCTCTGGCAGAGCAAATAGAGTCTCTGCCCAGTTTTTAGAAACTGTGTGATTGTGCTTCTCAGAGCACAGAGGGCTCTGAGGTGTGGGCCAGCTCCCAGCTTTGCGAACCCAGGCAACACTCAGTTCCAGAGGGCGAGGCAGGGCACGGTTCATCCAGGAGAGGCATCAACCCTACTGGACATGGTTTTTGACCTTTCAGCCTATGTGAGCCCATCCCCCATCCTCGGCCCGCAGAGCCCCTGTGCTCTCCTTCTTAGCACCCACATAATGATGATCGTCTATTTCCATGCTCTCTCTTCGTTGCTTCTTCTTGATGGGAAGCTCCATGAAATCAAGGGATACATGTGCTGTATTTCCACACCCACCGTGGTGCCAAGCAAAGAGGCAGATGAAATAGATCATCGCTGAGTGAGTGAGTGAACAATGCAGGCGGAATCATCCCTGTGTTCAGCTGGACTCTCAGGAAGATGAAGACTCATTGGGCTTCCACTAAGGACTGGGTGCTTTCCACGTTTGATCTCACTAAATTGTCCGAACAGGAGTAGGACAGTAGAGTGGAGTGGGGTGGTTAAGTACTTGGACTCAGCAGTCAGACTACTTGGGTCTGAATCTCAGTTATTACTTGCTGACCGTGTGACTTTAAGCAACTGGCTTAACCTCTTTGTGCCTCAGTTTCCTCACCTGTAAAATGTACACAGTACCCATCTCACATGGTTACCAATAATACACTTACAAAGGGTTAGCTCAGTGCCTGGTTCATAGTCATCTCGCCCACACACCTCCTCTTGCTGTTAACAACTCTGGAAGGTGGGTGTTTAACTGATGAGGAGAATGAAGCTCAGAGATGTTGAACAGCTGGCTGTAAATAGCAGAGTTGGACACCCCAGAGCCCCAGCCCCAGCCTTACCTCGGGTGCGGTACGTGAGCACGGCCACAGTGAGGTGGACCTCCGTGGGTGTGCGGTCCCGGGAGGAGCTGATGGAGTAGTACCGGGGTTTCAGAATAGGGAGCTGGGAGAGCAGGAAGCCAGCAGACACCCGCAGGGACGGGAACTCCTCCAGCACCTCCAGGAAGGTGGGGCTGTTGGTGAACTTCCACTTGCTGTACTCCGAGGGCTGAAAGCCAAGAGCAGTGTGAGCGACTCAGGGTGCCTGCCCCACACCAGGAAGAGGCTGTCACACTGTGGTATTCATTCATTCCTTTATTCATTGCCTCCCTCAACAGACACTTTGAAGTACCGGGCGCTGTCCAGGGTGCTGAGACGACCAAGCTGGAGGGGAAACAGTTCCTGTCCTGGAGGAACTCAGGCCAGCGAGTAGCACTTATCTACCTTGTGTGCTTAGGACTTCACTGTCAGCAACTTGTAGGCAGGAGTCAAAACTTTATTATAATCTAACTGGGGCAGGGCTTTGGAGTCATACAGAACCGGGTTCAAACCTTGACTGGATGCCTTTACTAGCTGGGGTTCTTGTCCCAATTACTTAACCTTTGTGAGATGAGGATGGTATACCCTACCTTGTGGGGATGCTGTGAGAATTAAATGAGAAAACGTGTGCCAGGTTAGTACAGTCAGCCATAGGATAACAGCAGTGGAGGTGACTGGAATCTAGATAATTAGCGATAACGATGATGGTAATAATGACATGGAATGCCTTTTGCAAAGACTGCGGCCTAGAAAATGGCAGGTGAGTTAATGCATTCTCTCATTAATTTATTAATCCAACTACCCATCTGTCACTATGTCCATTTATCCATTCATCCATACCATCCATCCTCTAACACTTCCTAAGTTCCAGGCTTGTTCCAGGTTTGGGGAAAACAAAGACAGACAGGACATAGTGGCTCTCCTTTTCTAGCCAATTTCTTTCTTTTTTTTTTATAATTTTATTTATTTTTTTTAATTTCTTTCCCCCAAAGCCCCAGTAGGTAGTTGTATGTCATAGCTGCACATCCTTCTAGTTGCTGTATGTGGGACGCGGCCTCAGCATGGCCAGAGAAGCGGTGCGTCAGTGCGCACCCGGGATCTGAACCCGGGCCGCCAGCAGCGGAGTGCGCGCACTTAACCGCTAAGCCACGGGGCCGGCCCTCTAGCCAATTTCTGAAGAAGCACTTCAGTTGCATCCTGCAGACACTCAGAAAGATTCAGTTTACTCAATACAACTGTGTCCTAGGGATGGGATGCAAGAGGATGGCTGATGTCCCACCAGACTTTGACAAGTCTCACTTTGGGAAGCTGGGGTGGATCCCCCCTTGAAAGACCAGCTCTGTGTTCTAGCTCCCCCCAACTCTGGGACGCTGTCCCTGCCTCATCCCCAGCCCCGACCTTCACCTGACACAGGGTCTCCAGCCTCTGCCTCTCGGCCTCTTCTGTGGCCAGCTGGGCCAGCTTTCGGAGCAGCATCTGGGTTGGGGGGGTGGTGATGTCCAGGAAGTAGGTGAGGGCCTGGCGGAGTGAGCAGGGGGGCAGCCGCTTGTCCTTGACCCAGTAGCTGCCTGGATAGAGAAAAAAGAAATCAGGATGGAAAATAATGCCCCACTGAGGCCTCTGGGGCAGACATCCTCCACCTTCCCACTGCAGGGGAGAGAGGACAGTGAAGTTCTGGCTCCATGAATGGCAAAAGGGCTCATGTGCTCAACTCATGTTCAGGAAGGCTATGCCCAGAGATAAGGCTGCCAGGGAAGACTGATCAACAGCCCTCCAAAGGGCACCCAAGTTGACACAATCCTGTAAAACTAACTATGCACCAGAGTCCGGTCCCTCTCTGGCCCAGGCCGGAACGTTAGCAGAATACTTAACTTTAGCAGGTGAACCACAGACTCACAGTGACTAAATCCCCCAAAGACTGATGTACACCCCCAAGGCCCGGTGTTCATTTAGAGAAAAGCCCGTGACTGCAGTCCCCTGGGGCACCATACCAAGAGGTGCTTGGTGAGCAGCAAATCATCCCAAGTGAGGTGACAAGCCTCAAGGAGTCCCCAGAGGCACTGTGCAGGGTGGTCCCAGCATGGACCCTGGAGTCAGGAGACATGGTTTCTAACTCTGGCTCCCCACTTAACTCGCTGGGTGACTGAACCCTCTGAGTCCCGGGGGCCATCTCTGTGAAATGGACGTGACAACAGACCTGTCTCTCTGGGTTTGTGTGAGCACTGACTGAAATATGCGTGTGTAATGGTACAGGGTCTGGTACACATTTGCTCAATAAATAGTAGGTAAAAATATTAGTGTTACGTTATTTCATCTAGACCCAAAGCCTGATGAACCCCATCTGTCTCTCTACAGTCATGAGGACATCTGTGTCCCCGCATCCCTGAGTTTCAGGCTCTCTCACGTTCTGCTGGACAGTGGGGGATAACGCCAGACTTTGCTTCTCTCACTCCACTTTCCTATTTTGGCCACTTCCTTTAGGGGGACACAGACTTTGGAGCTGTCATTATCACCGAGGAAGCCAAGCCCAGGGAGCTATTCCTCTGGGTTGGGGGCCCGTGATCGCTGATTTCATGAGTTCATCTCTCCTGGGGCCTGTCACCCCTGTGCAGTGCTCGCCCTGTTGACTGAGAGCGTCACCTCAGCACAGGAAGGGGTGCTCCGGGCCCTCCCTAGGACAGCATCTTCTCCCCGGTGAGGATGGCCAGGAGGAGCCACGCTCTCCTGGTCACCTGTGGCCTGTGCCTGCCCACTGCCCAGGGAAGCAGGGGTAAATGAGACCCTCAGTGGTGAAACAGTGTGAAATTAGATGCCATGAAATGCAAGGAGGTTATGAATTCTGGGATCCGAGACTCTCAGGGTGTGCTGGACCCCTTCTCTGACTTTCTGGACAAATGCTCATTAGCCTGCAGGAAATGGACATTACTCCACTCTTGCATTTATTTGGTGCCAGGAATTGTGAAGGCTGCACATGTGTCTACTCATTTGTTCTTCACAACAACCCTACAAGCAAGGCTCTGTTGTCTCTATTTTAGAGACAGAGAAAGAAAGCCTTGAGAGGTGGACTCCTATGTCCAAGGTCACAGAGCTAGTAAGTGATGGCTCAGGGACTGGAACCCTCAAAGCTCACCCTTTCTACACTGTTTCCACATTTCTCTATTCCGTCACCAAGCAAGCCGCACACACACGCCTATTGCAGGGACTAAAGACACAATGCATGTAAAATGCTGGCATGTAGTAATCACCCAACAAATGCCAGCTGCTCCTCTTATTATGATAACACTTACGAATATTCTTGCGTCTGCCTCCTGTACTAGGTGGTGAGCTTTCTGAGGGCAGACACTGAGTCTCATTCCTTTTTGCAGCCCAGGGCCTGCCTGGTATATAGATGTGACCAGTTAAAATTTCAAAGGAAAAATAAATGAGTCATTCAATCAACCAAGAAGTGGCCGAGTGGGCAAAAGAAAGAAAGGAGAACGTCTCCCCAGCCTCTGGTGCTCGGCAGATAGTCCCAAAGATGTGTCCCTTTTTGCTGGCCTGCCAGCCAGGTAAGGACTGTTTGCAAGGCTGCTTTAGTACGGGCTTGGGTGGCCCGCCCCCTCAGCAGGAAGGACAGGGTTAGCTGCCCCAGCACAGGCCCGGGCCCAGCCTGTCAGCCAGGTTGGGGGTTAGGCGGGAGGATGCTGGGGCCGCCTCAGCAGAGGCTGCGTGCAGAGGGCTCACCGCTCTCGTCGAGGGTCTCCAGGCGCACGGGTTCGTGGGGTGCGGGGCCATCCACCACTCGCTCTAAGATGCCTTGGACCAGAGCTGGCTGGTTGCCTGGGAAAACCCCAAGGTGCTCCCCTGGCAGGTAGCTCAGCCCTCGGCTGGCCTCAATGGAGAGTTCCACCAGGAGGGTGGTGCGGCTGGAGAAGGAAAAAGAAGCCTCTGGTGACGCCAGCAGGATTTCCTCCAGAGTTCCCTGATGGGTGGGCCAGTTTCCCTGGGAAATGTGCCCTCCTTTCATTTTCCTGCCTGGTTCCATGAGCATAGGTCGCCAGCGTCCAGTGAGGCTGGGGCGCTCAAGAGGGCCCTGGGGCTGACCAGGCCTGTGGCTTCTCTGTGGGGAGAGGATGGGCCGCACCCCTCCCTGTGCGGCCCTCTGAGCCCCCGAGGGCTTGACCACAGACTCTGCCTAAAGAGAGAATCCCACTGGGAGATACGTGGGCATTGAGACAAACCTTTCCTTGTCCCCAGCACAAATTCAGTTACTAGAACAAAGCCCAGTTTTCCTAATGAATGGGGGAGAGCAGCACAGATAAACAAAACCTGTGGAGAGTCCACAGCACTTGCCTCTCCTGGCGGGGATAGAACTTTTCCTGAAAGTTGTGAACAAAGAGTCAAATGGTTTGAATTTCTCTTGCCCTTCCCTTGTAGTGAAAGGGTTAAGGGACAAAGGACAGGAAGTGAACCAGGTGCCGAGGTCCCAAGCTGGGAAACTGGCCCATGATTAGTGGAGACCAGACACAAGGGCGCTGGTGGCCACAGGGGTTACTGGTAAAGCTGGCCCTACTGATGCATCGTTGCTAATGCCAGCGGACTCCTCTCTCCCCTCCTTTCAAAGAATGACTTGCTCTGGTCCTTTCTTTATTCAGATAAAATCTGCGGAATGTCACCTAAGAAGCCCTGTAATTCTAGCCTACCTGGATTTTGGACTCTGTAGATTCTGCCGCGATTTGAGCCTCATGGTGAACACATTCTTGGCGTGCATACTGCTGAGGGCTGCGGGGCACAGACAGACAGTGAAATAGCAAAGTCTCTCTTAGTGTTGGCAGGGTTAGCCCCTACAGGTCTGAGTCAACCATCCCCGGACACTACCCTTGGGGTGTCCCCTGGGGTTGTGGTGGGTCTTTTTTTCCCTGTCCTTTCTCCCACTGAGTTTCTGAATCACAGATAAAGACCCCTGGTCTGACAGAGGGTGGTTGTGCTGATGCCAGGTGCTGGGAAATGCAATTTAGTTGCCCAAATATGGGGATTTCTAGGACATCCCGATGCTTGGGTTCCACGGGGGAGCACAGCTGAAGTTGGGGGTGTCCTGAACATGCAGAAACCTGCAGGACCGCTGTCCTCGTGGTACAAGAAAGGAGGGATCTCGGAGGCACAGCTTCCAGAGGGCCCCACAGAGAGTTCACGGACTGAAGTCCAGAACTGCCTCACAAAATGTTCTTTACAATACTTGGCTGCTATTGGAGCTGGAAAGCTGGGGCTCAAATCCCAACTTGGCCACATGCTACCAACTAGCTTCACCTCCCTGGCCTTCAGTTTCTCTGCCTGTGCCTTTCTCGCGGGACACTCGTCAGGGCTCACTTAGAGCTGGTGAGCAAAGAGCCCAGCACAGTGCCTGGCCCACAGGAGGCTCCTTTTTCTCTCCACCACCCTCCCAGGGCTTCCTCTTGAAACAGCCTCCCTCGGAGACAAAGTAAGCCCTTGAGTCTTGCATCCCAACAGATTCTTGGATGCAACAAGAGGGAGATGACTGGCAGGCTATCTGCCTCTGTTCAGAGGGTCCTAGCGGTCCCCTTGACCACAGGCTTGGGGCTCAGAGACCCCCACCCCGGCAGGATGGGCAAACAAGCCCCGTGTGGTACAGGGAAACGGGTACCTTTGCTGAGGTCCAAAGGCTGCAAGTCCTGCATGAGCCTGTAGTGGTGCGGGTCCCACGTCACATTGGAGGTGTAGAGCTTGGGGATCTGAATGTGCTGCTTGCCTCGGACATCAAACGTCTCACAGGCTGCCTGGAAGAAGATGGAGCAGACCGGTGTTAATAATCATCCCATAATCAGCAGCAGCAGCATCACCACTGCTGGGGCTACCATTTTGTAGGTCCTTACAGCCAAGCTCAGTACTTCATATAAGTACTAAGCACACTTATCTGATGGGGCTGCTGCGAGGACTCAAAGAGGTGGCCGGGCTTGGCACGTAGGAGCTACTGCTATTATTATGAATACTAATATTGACAGTATCTCATTTTATCCACAGGCCTACAGCATGAGACAGGCTCATCACTCCCACTGTCCTGACGTGGGATCATGTGGAGGAGGCCTGGGCTTGGGAACCACGTCTGCCCCCACTCCAGCCAGTGCTCCTGAGCACCACTGCTGGGTGAAACATTTTGCTTCAATGAGGAGTTCTCTAAATCAGTGGGGTCAAGCCCCAAGCAATAAAGACCTACTGAGATACTGACACAGGTCCAAAGAACTCAACTGCGTGGTCCCTGTCCCCAAGCTCTCTGTGGCTGGGAGACCAAAACAAGACAAGGTGGTCATGAGGTGACCTGGATAATCAGAGGGGGAAAGATCTTAAACCAAAGCTGCCTGAGGGCTCGGCCACCTTCTCCCACCCAGGGGACACATGCTTGAAGTGGAGCTCTTTGTTGGGTTGAGGGAGAGCATCAGTAACCTGAGCCCTTGGGCCTGCAACCCCAGCTCACGCCCGGGACCATGACTACAGGACCAGTAGGGGTCATGCCGCCCAGGACGCCCAGCACAGATGTCCTGAGCATGAGTGCAGCACGGCATCCCTATCCGTGCTGGGGGGCAGCTCGGGCTGAGAACTGACCTTGAAGGTTTGCACGGCCCAGGTGCGGAAGGCCTCCTCCTGCCCCCCGAGCTCGTCCCCTTCCCCAGTAGGGGCGAGCTGAGAGGCCCCCAGGTGGGACAACTTCTGGTCGATGTCATGAGCGAAGGCGCAGAACTGGGGATACATGCTGGAGCCGAGGCCAAACACGGCGTACCTGCCCAGGGGGACACACACGGAGCCCGGGGTGAGCCAGCCCACGCAAGCATTGCCTGGCACCGACAGCCTGTGAGGCCAGCCTCAGACACTCCCACTCCAGCTGGGCACAGGACCTGTCAGTGTATGCCCCCTTCTGGTCCTCCCCGGCTCCCAAGCCTCCTGTGACCAGCCCTGTGCTTGGCCTGCAGACCTGCGAGAGGGACTTAGTTTCCCTGGCTTGACCCCTGACATACTCTGAGGACAGACTCTCTCTGTGCCTGGACATCCCAGAGAAGACCCCCTTAGACACACCCAGTTCCATCCCTGGAACCCAGACTCTGAGCCCATAGGGCTGGACTCAGATAAGTTGGAGTGGGACAAAGCCTCACCTGAACTTGTTGGTGAGCTTTTTCAGTATGAAGAGGGATTTCTTCAGTTTCTAGAAAGAGACAGAACCACAGAATTCTCAGGATAGGGTTAATAAAAGCACTGCTTTTTCCTTTCTTCTGGTGGCCCATTTAAAAACTGGCCACATCTGGCGGAAGAAGGTTCCAGAACCACAAATGGAAGTTGGTTTAAGCGTGGGGCCACCTGGCTGGGGCTCAAGGACCAATTCAGCCTTAGCAACTCACGTAGGCCTGACCCTCGGTGGGGGACCCAGAACAGCCAGCCCCAAGCCATCCAGCTGTGGTAGAGGGGGCCTGCCCCACAGCAGGGCATCTCCAGAGGGTCTCCTGATGGGGCATGAGGCTCTCTTCTTGTTTGGAACCCGGTGAGAGTGACAACTGGTCCCATATTCTCTAAAATAACCCTGATTTCCTAAGAACTCAAGATAATTTTAGGCGGCTCACAACCCAACAGAAATAGTGTCAAATCACATGGTAAGAAAGTATTTACTTTTCTGTATTTTTTTGTTATTCCTGTTTCAATTATTTTTTTGTCCTTCGGAACACTAAACAGAAAGTCTCAGATTGGTGCTAACGGAGCCTTAACATCTCTCTAAGACTTGTTTATTACTCTCTTTAAAAAACAAAGCAAGCCATGGTTAGGCAACAGTATCTAGCTAAAATTCAATAACTTTGTTTGGCTTTCATTGGATTTACTTTTTGCTGGCTTCCCATTTGTGAGCGTAATATAGTTTCCTTTAAATATGAATTTTTGAATTAAAAAGGGAGGTTAATTTACTAACATATTAAGTAGGTCGTAGGAAAGGCGGCACACACGTGTGGAGATATACACAGGAGGCGGGCAAATGGCTGACGTAGGGGCAGCCCCGAGTGACCTGGGCACTTACCCCCAGCACCCTCTTCAGGACACGCTGAATCCCCCAGATCCTTCCCTTGGTCCTCTCAGGCCCTACCACCCCTAGACCACTGGGACCTGGGCCACCCACCTCTCCATTGCCGGGGGAGTCTCCGTTCCCAAACGTGCTGGTCACCACCAGCAGCAGCTGCTCCTCCTCCAGGTTGCTCAGCCGGTACTCGTCCATGCAGAGAACCTGCCCGGCACCGAGGGCGGACATCAGCTCTAAGCAGCCAGCCTGGGGCCCTCCACACCCTCCCTCCCAAGACACCCTGCACCTCCCTCCCTCCACCCAGGCCGGGAGCCCCATTCATCATCTCTGTGCCCAGGGCCCAGCACAGGTGTGGCACAGAGGGGATGAGTGCTCAGCAAATCCCCATCAAATGAACCCATCGGAACACATCCTCCTCGATGCTCGTCCCCTCTCCAGCCCCACTGCTAACACGCCAGGACGCCCTGCAGGGCTCACCTCCAAAATACTGCATGTCCCAAATTAAAACACTGCTCACCACTTCCCCCGCTATTGTGAATTCTGAGTGTGGACATACTTTCCACAAAAATGAGATGAGCCGGTTACAAAAATGACAACTCCTTTGGCTCCTCAGGCACCCAAACGCTTTGCCCAAAGCTAATCTCAGGTGACGCGTGTCACCGCCTCGCGTTCCACCCAGGCCGCCCTGACTTGGGAGGCTTTCAGTGATGAAGGATAAAACCCAACACTGATGGAATGAATTAGTCACCGCTAGGGTTTTGTTCTATTTGTTTGCATCGTATTCATCCTTTGCTCCCTTCACATTTAGCACCATACCCTGTATAGCAGGGGTTCAGTAAACATGAATAACATTCATCTAGAGCAGCTCACAAATATTGAGGCTTGGATTTATTAGGAAAGTGTTTCCCAAATTGTGTTCCCTGGAACACTATGAAAAACTTATTTACTATGTAAGTTTGGGAATCCCTGGACACAAATGTGTTCTTCTATCACAGATTTACAATGGACATCAGTACATCCAAGGCTCTGGACATCCAGGAGCACTTTAACCACTTTAAGTTTCCCCCGACTTCTCTGCACACAGGCAGAGAAAACAGCACACATCCAGCTGAGTCAGCTACCTTGGGGTTGAAGGCACAACTGAATAAGGCCTCCAGGTCCCTGGCCAGTGTTTCTGATTTTCCCGTCTCCGTGGCAAAGAGGATTGTGGCTCTGACGCGGGATGCCATGGTCTTGCGCATCAGCATAGAGGCGAAGAGCACGGCCCTGTGGGGACAGACAGACAGACACCCAGCACTGAGTCAGCCTCCCAGGGGAAGATGGGAGCCTGGGAGAATGGGAGGGGACAGCCTTTAAAGCGGGGCAGGTTGAGAAAAAAGAACCCACGTTTCTCATCAGCTCTCAATCCTGCCTCACCACCCTTCTCCTCTCCCCACCTGCTCAACCCACTACTCAGCCCCTTGGGAAAATGGAGGAGAGAGAAGGTTGGGTAAATGGCAGCAGGCCATCCTCAGAATTGGGGTCTGGACCTCTGGGAGCCAAACTCCATAAAGATCATCTTTTTGCTTTGTTCTCTGCCCTTCAACGCCTAGAAGGGCAGGCTGACTAGAAGGAAGGGCTGCAGTTCAAACATCAACACTGGCTGCTCCCACTTACTTAACCAAGACCTTGAATCGAATCTCTCTTCTCCGGGGTCTCTGCTTCTCATCCTGCCAGACGTGGGTTTTCCAGGCCTCCACCTTCAGAAAAGAAGGCAGATGTGAGGACAAGGTGGGCCCTCTGGCTCAGCTTGGGCTTGAGGATGCTGGAGAGACAGAGGACCCTTCATGCCCATCGTGAGTTGAGGGGGAGAGCAGGCCCTGTCCCCACCCCCACCTCACTGAAAGCCCCACAGGGGAGGGCTGTGTCTGTCTGTCTCTCTCGCTCAGAGTCACAACTCAGTGTCCAGCAGAGCGCCTGCTCATACCGGGTGGTGAGTTGATTTTATTCTCATTAGTGTCCCCCCGGAAGGAAGAGGCCCCACTTCTCTTTCGTTTTTAGTGTCTTATCACTAGGAAGACTATGAAACGTATAGTCCAAACTGGGATACCTTTGAGAGCAAAAGGAGGTGCCGTGACAACAGGCACAAGTCACCCTATTTATCACCTTTAGAGTAAGGAAGCTCTTCCCCAAATCTAACCAAAGTCCTTTTTGACAAAAAATGAATTTGTTTCAATAGGTAACGGTTACTGAGGGCACCCTGGGTTAGGCACTGGGCTGAGCAGTTACATACACCAGCTCATGTGATCCGAACAACCTCCTATCGTGGAGTTGATGCTTATCCTTTTTAGAGATGAGAAATGAGGGCTTAGACGTGTGAAATGACCCACCCAAGATCATAGAGCTAGGAAGTGGCAGAATCACCCCCAGGTGTGTCCGACCTGAGAGCTAAGCTCTTCACCGTTATGCTGTGTGACTGGTTCTAGGAGGTAGGTGCAATGTGGTCACCCTCAGGAGCTTAAACCCCATCAGAGAAAGGGGTCACTAAAGGTACAATAAGATGTATTTCCCCCAGTTCCACTCTGCAGAAATGGACAAAAGCTGCTCGGCATCCTTGAGTAAGGCCTAGAAAGCATTAAAAATATGCCTCTGTGTCCCTGATCCTCCCCCATACATCCTGCGTGAGTGAGCATGCACGTACACACATACACACGCACACAGGAACATTTGCACACATGTGCATGCATGCATACACACACACACACACTCTCTCTCTCTCTCGCTCCACCCCTGAGCTCCCAAGATGGAGAGGAGAGAAAGGCCCCTCCCTTACCTGGTAGTAGTAGAAAGGGGACAGGACATAGTTTAACATCTCCTGGTGGAACACGGGGGTGATGCTCCCAGAAATCGGGGGGACCAGCCAAACCCAGTCAGCTGGGCAGCCCCCACGGGACCGGTACTCATTCTGCATGTGCTTCATGAAGGACTCTGCAGCTGAGTGGTGGTCCATGATGGTCACATTTTGCTTCTAAATCAGAAGGAGACAAGAAGGGGAATTGAGGCGAGGGGTGGGAAAATCAGGAGAGTAGCCCGTGGGCTGCAGGGCTCCCAGATGGACTATGGGAAGGCCTGGAAATCCGTAAAATGGGAGAGCAATTCCTCCAGGCCCCCTCCTCACTGCTAAAAGTACATATCCAAATGGAAGGCACTTGCAGAACCTCCAAAGGAGCCCAAGAAATCACCATAGCCGTGGTCAGCCCACAGGTTGCATGGTGGCCTCCTCTTGGCCCTCTGGGGGCGGTGTCCAGCTTCTCAGGCCACACCCACAATTCTCCCCAAAATCCCAATAAATGGCTCTCTCTGGATGCAGAAAATCGAACCTCAGTGCCTTTTTGTGACTCAGTAGAGAGTTCCAAGAGTCACTTCCCCAAGGACATGGCTCTCTCGGCCAAGATGAAACTAGGCACCTCTGAAGAGGACTGAAGCATTGGGGGACTGTGGTGTATAGAAGACAAATCCCCACAATGTCCACATCCTACAATTAGGAGTCAAGGGGTCTGAGCCTTCCTGGAATGATCCAACAAGGGCAGCCACACCCCTCCATGTCCGGGGCAACTCATTCAGTCAAGAGCCATATGTTTAATGTAGTGGTTCAAACCTTGGCCTCTTATTGGCCATGTGACCTTGAGCTATTAGTTCCTTAACCTCAGTAAGCCTCAGTTTCCTCATCTGTGAAATGGGGATAACAACAGTTTCTACATCATGAGGTTGCTGAAAGGATGCAATAAGTTAACAGAAGTAAAGCATAGAACGTGCTCAATACATGTTAGCTGCTATTATTATTTCTATCTGCCAGGTATTACATAAGGCACGGCCACTATAGAGGGGAAAGGACGTGGTTCCTTCTCTGCATTAGACTATATTCTAAGTAGGGGAGGCAGAAGAAAGTCAGCCGTCTCGTGTGGTCTGATAGGAGATACAATGAGGGGAATGCAGGTGCTGATGGAGGGCGGAGGAGAGGACGCAGCTCAGACAGAGGCCTGGAGGAGAGATGGAGGATTTCAGAGACAGCTCCTAAGAGGAGATGAGTCTTGAGAGACGGGTGCAAGTTAGACAGGGGACAGGCATTCCTGGAGGAGGACACAGCACGAGTCAAGGCCAGAGGCACAAGAGGAGCCAGCTGATGGAGGGCCCTACAGGCCCAGCCACACCTTCCAAAATTTTATCCAGACACATGTAGCAACTCCTGGCGCTGGATGAGTTTTAAGCTCAAGAGCTGATGATGATAGTTGTGGTAATGGCAGTAACAATAAATAAAAATACAACAACAAAACTAACGCTTGCTGAGGATTCGCTACGGGCCAAGCAGTGCAGCCAAACGTTTGCATACACTTTCATTTAATTCTAACAGTAACCTAGTGAGGGAGGTACTACTATTATTCCCATTTTACAGATGAAAAAACAAGCCTAAGTCTTTTGAAGTTTACCCTGAAGGAGGGTGACCAGGAAGTCCCGGAGACTCTCGGGCAGAAGAGGGACGTGGTCAGCAATGGGCAGGGGACAGCTGAGGTGCAGCAGATTTTCTGGGACATAACCGTATCCTGCAGTGTCAAGGCTGGTGCTTAGAGGCCCCAGGAGTCAGGATATGTGGTCCACGGCCGGCAGGCGGGGACTTCCCAAACCAGGCCCGCCCCGGGGGGTTCTTCCTGTTCAGTCTCAGAACCCCGCCCCCATCAAGCACAAGCTTGACCTGCCCGTGGGGTGACCCACCCTGGAGAGCAGTGTCTGATCATATGTGTTTCCTGAGCGGTTGTTTAATGTCGGCTCCCACTCCAGTCCACAAGGACAGGGGTTTTCCTGTTTGTTCACCACTCACATCCTTGGTCCAGCTGAGAGCCTGGCACATGGAAAATGCCTGGTATACTTTGCTGAATGAATGAAGGAATCTGCCCAGTGGCCTGGCCACCAGGGCATCTGCCAACTTTGTGGACATGGTCCCAGCTTCTAAAGTAATATCCTAACACCTCCCATGCCTCCTCCCCAAAAGGAAGGAGAAGCAGCAGGTGGATCAGAGGGCTCAGTCCCACCCAGGAACCAGCCTGCTGTGTGGGCCCAAGGGGTGGACGCTGTCACTCAGATCGGAAGCAAGCGCAGCCGCTGCTCATGTGGATGGGTTCACTCATTCCATACATATTTTTTTTAGCATCTACCACGTGCCAGACACTCTTCTAGATTCTGGAGGTCAACCAATGAACAAGAGAGACAAGGCCCCAGCCCATGGAGTTTACATTCTTGTGGGGGAAATAACAAAGAAAGAAAGAAAGAAGTAGATTACTGTATAGTGTCAGGAGCTAATACATATTATGAAGAAAAATAAAGACAGAGTTCAAGGAATGAGAGAGAGAGACAGGATGGAGGTAGGACGAGGGTGCCATTTTACATGGCGTGGTCAGGGAGGGCTACTCCGAGGAGCTGACAATTGAGACCTCGGTGAAGGAAAGGAGCTGGTCATGGGATGATTTGTGTGAAGAGTGCTCTCGGCAGAAGGAAAAGCAAGTGCAAAGGCCCTGAGGTGGGAATGATCTTGGTGATTTTGAAAAACAGCAAGAATTCCAGTGTGATTGAAAGAGTGGAGGAGGATAAGAGAGGTGGTGGCATTACAGGAGTGGCTGGGGGATGAGGAAGCGTAATGAGATCTTTCAATGGCTTTTCTGTAAAGGGAAGCAGAAAAACAAGGTAATAGCTGGGGGGCGTCATCCGCTTAGCTAGTCATTTATTTCTTTAAGATGGGGGCCATTACAGCCTATTTGTACATTGATAGGAACGATCCAGCGGAGAGGGAGACATTAATGATACAGGAGAGAGATGGGGAAAATTTTGAGGAGTAAAATCCTTGAGAAATTGAGAGAGGACAGGATTCAGTGGACAACTCAGGGATTTATCAGTCTTGAGAGGTAAGGAGTTGCCTGTTGCTAGAAGCATTCAAGTTTACACAAGAGGACCTAGAATGAGCAAGAGAGCTTATTGATCTCCATATCCCCAGCACCTAGCCCAGTGCCTGGCACAAACTGAGTGTTCAACACTTGTCTGATGCATGAATAAATGGACAATGCCGTAAGGGGAAAATCAAGCACGAGATGAGTGGCTAGACCAGCTGATCTCCTAACCGAAAAGTCTTCAGACCCACAAAACACCAGACACACCTGGAAACTGTGGAGCACAGCCACGTTGATCTCGATGACAGCCCGGTCCTTCCAGAGGGAGGCCAGCTTGTGCGTTTCCAGGCCCATCCTTCTGCCCACTTCCTGCAGAGGCAGAGAGACGGGGGTGAGTCAGCCCTCAGGCCCCCGCACAGGCCCACACCTCCAGCCGGCCCAGCTGGACGGTCCTCGTTACCTCCAGGATGTCATAGCGCTGCACGTCGCAGTAGTCCCGGACCCCGATCTCCGTGCCCATGTACCAGCCGTTGAAGGGGCACCCCGGGAACTCGAGGCCGCCCACCTCGAGCAGCATGTTGGCCACGGCTGGCAGGGCGTACCACTTCAGCTCCAGCTCCCGGAACCACTCGTACCTGGCAGGGAGGCACGGCCAGCTGCCACTGGGGCCTTCATTTTTGCCCACGCTCACCCCCCAAAAGAAGCTTCAGAAAAAGAGTCAGCCAAGAAAACTCCTTTGTAAGTGTTAATCCTACCTGGAGAGGTGAATTGGGCGCACTGGGTGTCAGTCATTAAATGCATTCATTCACTCATTCATTCAGCATCATATATATGACAGGCCCTGGGGTAATGCTGAGAATTCAATACAGCAAAGCAGTCAAGGACTCTAGCTCAGAAAGCCTGGGTTCAAGTTCTGCCTCACCGCTTACTAACTGTCTGACCTTGGGATGTTATGTAGCCTCTCTGAGCCACCAGCAAAATAGAGATAATAGCATCAAACTTGTGGGATTATTGTGAAGAAAATAGTATCATTCATTTGTATATGCATTTATTTCACAAATATTTGTCATTGAGCACCTACTGTGTGCCAGGCACTCTGCTGGGTGTCGGGGATATATTACTGGACAAGAAAGGCAAGATCCCTATTCTCAAGAAGCTTGCGGTCTAGAGTCTAGACTATAAACCGGTAAACAAATAAACGGGAAAATAAAAACAAGGTGATGTGTTAAATGGAGGGTGAGGGTGCCTACTATAGACTGAGTAGTCAGGAGAGACTTCTCAGAGTGGGTGCCATCAGAGGAAATAGCTCACTGCCAAGAAGAAACGAACCTTGGAAAATTCTGAGGAAAGAGCATGTCAGGCAGAGGAGACAGCAAGTGCAAAGGCCCTGAGGTGGGACTGAGTTCAGTGTATTCAAGGGACAAAAAAGAAGAGCTGAGCCCAATGCCTGCTATGTAGTGAATCTCAATATATGAAGGTATTTTTGTAATACAAGAGCTGCCTGGAGCAGGGGCTGAACCAGATGAGCTCTTGAAGCCACTGTAGCCCTGGACTTTTACCACAGTCAGAAGGACAATTAAGAAGTTGGCAGGAAGGCAAAGGAGGCCTAGGCTGCTCAGTGTGAGAAACTCAGAGCCTTTCAAGGGTTCCTCTCCCCGGGTCACTGCTTCCCACGCTCCCAAGGCCCCATGTGTCTAAGCCTCTCCTTCTCCCTCACCATCAACGTATCCTCATAAGTCTCAGGCCTGAGATGCAAGTGCAGAGCTGCATGCAAGGTGACAAGGCAGGCCTTCTGGGCATCACCTGCTGCTGGCTGGGCATTGGGGGACAACCAGTGAAGGGCCTGAGGACCAAGGTCTCACTCAGGAAATGAGAGGGGCATGCATGGTGACTCACGCCCCCAGCCCCCCAGCCTGCTTACTTGGGATGCTCCATGGGCACCTCAAGCACAAGGTCAGGTGGGATTTCGAAGAGCTCAGGGTCGCGGCCATCAGCCTGCAGGACCAGAGGCATCACATCGAAGCGGCCGTACTTGGGCTTCCAGCCCAGGTCGATGCACAGCTGGGGGCAAGACAGGCCCAGTGAGTCTGCAGAACCAGGCCCCTTGACCCCTCTGGGCTCCACTCTCACCCACCGAGGCTGGATCCGGTACCTGGGTGAACTCCACGGAGGCAGGGTCCCCTCTGATGGTGCCATCAGGCATCTGGTACCCGGCATACCGGATGAGCTGCGCGTTCCAGACCCGGAAATCATGCTTTCCATCGCTCCGCTGGGGGAACACAGTGATGGCCGACCTTCCCCAAGACAAGGACAGTGCCATTTACCACCTGGCTCCAGTGGGGGCTCCCAGCTATCCCCCACTGGTCCCCCTCTCCCTCCCCTCTTCCTGCACCCAAGCTAACTGAACCAGACTCCTGCAGCTCCCCGACTTGCCAAGCTCTCACAGGCCTCTGCCAGTGTACGACCTGCCCCACTTCCTGACATACCCTCTCCCTCCTCCTTTTCCCTCCAGCTCCTACCCTCCTTCAAGACCAGCACAGGGAACCCCGCCAGGGACCCCTCCTCATCCCTCAGGCAGAATTAGCTGCCCCAGCCAAGGCATCATATCGCTCTCCTTGAGGTCAAGTTAGTTGGATGCTTGGCTAGGGAAAGCCATAGGTTCACAGTGGGCTGGAGCAGCATCTTAGGGTCTTAGTCTGCATCCCCTCATCCCACTGCCATGCCTAGCCCTATGTTGAGTGGTGGCACTGAGTGTTTGCTGAACAAAAAAAAAATGAATGAATGCCCGAATGAGCTGTTCAGTCCACCAGCCTTGATCTCTTTGGTGGGGGCTAGGGGAAGGTAAGGTGGGGGTGGATACTGATGAGCAGTGACTCTCCCCCCTCTAAGAAAACACCACACTGGAGCCACCTGCTGCAAAACCAGCATCTCATCCCCCGTAAAAAGTGGGGAGCCCTAACCTTGAACAGTGAAGAAGTTGCTTCTTCAAGATCCCCCCGTCGCCTCCAAACAGTTCCAAGTCAGAGACAAACCAAGGAAATGGGCTACTGAGCGGGGCTAAGCTCCTGGAGGCTGGGCTCTGAGGCCTCACTGAACAAACCTGAGTCTTTCTCCTTTCTCCTTCTCCCTGGTTTCTCCTGGAGCCTCCCCTAAACCCACCTGCATCTTTTGGCTAAGACTCGGGGGTAGGGTGGACCTCAGCCGCAGCCTCGGGAAAGGCGCACCCACCTGATGTTGCCGTTGTTGGTGGAGTAACGCAGGTGTCTGCAGATGTGTTCAAACATTTCCTGGGCAGTGGAACAGCTCCGGGCGTCAAAGACCTGCACACAGCCCACCCAGACCACACCCATCAAGGACTGTGAAAACAGAAGCCTCAGGGTCGATAAGAAGCTAAGTCATGGGGGACCGAGGCAGCGGCCCCAACCCCCACCATCCAACACCAGGCAGAGAAGGGCATCTTCCCTCTGCATCAACAGCTGCCCCATCCATCCTTTTCTCCTGCTCTCCTCGGGGAGCCCACTTGAAAGATCCTAGCAAAACCCAAGTCCCAAGAAAACGTGATTTTCAGGCACCATGAATCAGGATTCCCACAGTCCCAGCCTGATTCCTTTACAACATGAGAACATTTTACACAGGGCCCCAGCACTTTTCCTTACAGCCAGAGTTGGTTTCACTGGCATTTCTCATCAATTTCTCTGTCCATGGCTTTTAATATTCTCCAGCAAGAAAAGATCCCCCAGTGTAAAGATGGCCTAGGAGACTAGGATAAACAAAATGTTTTCTAGGGACCAAGAATTCAAACAGTCGAGGTAAACAACCTCTCTTGCGGCACCAGGGCCTCAACAACAATAATAACAAGGTGGTTTGGTTTTACGACGGCATTTAGTCTCCCAAACTTAACACAAGAGAGAAAGGTCAGCTAGAAATCCTGGTGCTGAAATCGGATTCTAGACTTCTAGAGGGGCCCCTATGAGCGCCATTTTATGTTCAGGGATGTGAAGAGAGGACCAGAGCTCTGGCTTCAGTCTGGGGAGCCCTGGGCACAGCTCTGCTCGGCTGTTCCCGCCTCCCAGCTTCCTCTGCCACTCAGGCCTAAGGAAGCCCACCTGCAGGTTGGACCACTGGATCCTCCCGATGCAGCGGGGGGCATTGCGCCAGGCCTGCTTGGTGGCAAAGATGAGCTCATCTCTCGTCAGCTGGTAGGTTCCTGTTGTTTCTATCTCCTTTGTTACGGCTTCCAGCCTGGCCAGATGTTCCTCTATTTTTGCTCTGAGGGACAGGAAGACATCAGGAAGATCAACAATGACATGGCCTTAAATGGAGATTAATTCAATCCACAGAAGCAGGAACCAAATTAGGACACCAGGAGGGCAAGATGTCTCTCACAGAGACTGTCCCCGCCAGGGCCAGCTGCATGAGTGTGTGACCCGGGCCCCAAGCTTAGAAGGGTCCCGTACTTGGTTTAATGCTCTGCTGTCACCATCTTGAAATTCTTAATCATTTTTGAACAGGGAGCCCCCATTTTCATTTTTACACTGGGTCCTGAAAGTTACGTAGCTGATCCTGATCCCCTCGGCACCCCTCTTGTTTCCAGGCACTTTTTCTCTAATCATGTTCATCTCAGCTTGGCGAGCAGGAGCAAGGAGTGCAATGCTTCTCAGACACTTGCAAGACAGAGGAGCATCCATCAAGTCACGGTCATATCCTGCCTCTCAGCCGGGGGAGCACCCTTCCACCTTCTCATGGTTAAGAGATGAGCCAATCTCTCTCACTATGAGCCAGGTATTGGGCAAAGCCACTCATAGTCAGGGGCCCCCTGAGTCCGTGAGGCAGGCATTTTTGTGTCCATTTTATAGTCTAGTGCATCAAGGCTCTAAGGTTTAAGTACCGGCCTGGGGACATAAGTGTGATAGACAGCAAAGTCAGGACTCGGGTTGCCCTGACGCCAAGCTCCTCCTCTTAACCTTCCACCTTCCATCCCAGGAGGGATTGCAAGCCCAGAGACGTCGAGGGCCTGCCCACGCTTCCCTGGTCAAGCGCAGACGGGACTCGGCTCTCAGGACTCAGCCTGCCGGGCCCCAGGGCCTGCTCAGGGAGGAGCCCTACACAGCGTGGTCTCTACAGCAGGCTGTTTCGCAACCTCCGCATCACTCAGCCAGAAATCCCATATAAGATTTCTAAACAGGCTTCCCCTCTCCCCTCCAAGGCTTCAAAAATATCCCGCAGGGAGGGATTCAATATGAAAGGCTTTGAAACACACACACACACACACACACACACACACACACACACACACACACAGAGCAACCTTGAGATTTCCAATCAGCACCAAAGACTTTTGAAATGGCAACAAACAAAACTATTCAAGGAATGAACTCCTGATTAAGGAGAGTGGACGACTCAGAACAAAATGGCCTTTTTGCAGATGAAGAGTGTCTCGACAACTCTTCCTTGATTAAAGAAAAGAGCTCAAAGACAAAACACTTGGCACTATTTATCTTCAAGGACACTCCTGGCATAAGGACCCGCTAGGTGAGGTTGATGCTGCCCCGCCACTGGAAGCCCTCCCTCCCCAAACAGAGCTTCTAGAAATACGCCCCGCTCTGCATCCAAGCGTGAAAACAGTAGTGATCACCAGAACACTGATGCCTCCAACACACGCGGTAGTGTTAACATGTGACCACGTAAGGAAGAACTTCCCTCTGTGAGAAGCAAATGGGTTTGAGCAGCCACCAAGAGCATCCCTGGAGCATCCCTGGGCTAACACCCACCCAGTTGCCTTCCAAACACCAGCAGGACCCCCCAGGTCCAGCTGGTCCAGGACCAGCAGGAACCTTCAGGGTCAAAGAGCTGTACACCAGAACATTGAGGTTGAAAGCAAGGGTTCTGGTGCCAAACTATTTGGGTTCAAATCCCAGCTTTGGGACTTCAGAAGGCGTGACTTTGAGCAAGTTACATCTCTTCCATGGGCTTCAGTTTCCTTGCCTGTAAAAGGGGGAGGATAATAATGGTACCAATCTCGCCGGGTTGTGGTGAGCATTATGTATAAGGCACTTACACAGGGCCCAGAACATACGTAGCACTCAGTAAATGTTAGCATCAATATAGTGGCCCAATGAAGCCCATCAACAAAATTCCTGGACCCCAAAAGGCTCATCAGTCAACACCAAGCTGAAGTCCGAGGATCTTGAATCTCCCAGTCATGAAGCACTTCTGCAGAGGTTCTAGTTACACAGCACACACAGCAGGCAACCCCCAGGGCTCTCAATCCGGCTGGACATTAGAGTCACCTGGGGAGCTTTTAAAGAACACGGATGCCTGCCCCCGCCCCATTTCCTGAGATCCTGATGCCCTCGGCCCCAGGAACCCTGGCATCAAGGTCCTCAGGAAACTGTACTCTGCAGCCAAGGTTGAGGATCACTGGCCCTCGAAGATAACGGCCTCTTTCTAAGTCAAGACTCCAGGTCTCTCCCAGCTCAGACACTGTAGGGTCAGAGCAGAGGGGATGTGGTATCACCAGGACCCACTCTTTCCACCAAAGGGGTCCCAGGTGCACTTCCGTGGCTCACTTCATGCAGCGAAGTGCTGAGTGGGGCAGTACCATAAAAGCCACACTCCACTCCCAGCCCATAGAACAGCAGAGCCATTCCATCGGCCATCCCGTCTCACTATCCCTTTGTGTATTTTTATTTTAAAGTTATAAATGGGCTTAAATTAATAGCCACATATTTTATGAAACCCACAAATATAAAACCCCAGAGTGTTCAGAGCAAAGAGCATGGCCTGCCCTCTCCAAGCTAGGTGGCCTGGATTCTAGCTGGGACTGGGTGACCTCAGGTACGTCACTGGGCCTTCCTGTTCACACCTGTAGGAGGAGGGCTTGGTTAGGTGCTCTTGAAGGTCCTTTCCATCTCAAACATTTCATAATAAAAGAGTGCACATCAATTCATAATCAAGGCGACTTTGTTCCAGGACACCGTTTTAAACTGATTTAATCCTCACAACAATCTTGTGAGCTAGGTTCTATTATCATCCCCCTTTTATAGATGAGAAAGTTGAGGCACAAAGAGGGTAAATGGGTTTCCCAAGGATACAGGACTGGTTACTGCTGGAGCCAGGATTCAAACTCAAACACTTATACCCCCAACCCACACTTCAAGCACTATTGCCACGCCTCTTTGTCTTACGATTATGAGAACCTATTCCAGGGTCTTTTCCCTTGGAAAACTATGCTGCAGCCCTGGATGCACTGTGAATCCGGGAAGGAAAGGGGTCTGGAGGCAGAGGGAAATGGCTGGAGACAGGGGAGCTCAGGGGAAGGGTGAGGCCGCGATCCTGCAGGAAGCAACACTTACTCTTTGAAGGAGCCGTAATACTGGTTGACAAATTCGATAGCGTGAGGTAGAAGCTCATCTGGGGGCGTAGGCTTGTCCCTGGGTCCTCTTGTCATGCTTTTGGGGTTCATGATGGCTCCCAGGCAAGACTTGGACTTGCAAGCGACATCCTGGAAAGAGAGAGGCAGGTGGTGAGGCGGGCTGCCTCACCTCGGCACAGGTGTTGATGGCCGTCCTCCTCCAGAGCCAGCTCTCCTGGTCACTTCCTTCCACTCCAGCTGCTCCAGCTCCCTGTTGCCCCTCTCCACCCCTGTGGCACCTCCTCCTTGGGGTCCACCAGGCTTTCTCCCCTCCCAGATCTCCTTTCTCTACCGGCTGAACCCCAGTGGGTGTGAGCTGGGGTTGCTCCCCTACGCCAGGCTCAGTCTCTGGCCCTGCTCCCCAGCTGGCCCCAGATCCAGAGCAAAGCCAGCAGCTCAGTCCCTGCAAACATCCTAACTACCTTCTCATTGAAACAGGCTGATGTGGCTCCTGGGAACACATTATTGGTGTTTGGCCAAAATGAACTGAAAGGGTGCAAATCCCAAAGTCAGAGGATGGTACAGAAAAAATAGTGGAAGGAAGTACACCCAAAAGTTAACTGTGGCAATTTTTGGAAGGTGTGGGAAATCTGCTTTCACGGTCTTGAAATTTTCAATTGTTTCCCACTTTACAATCATAGAATGCATTCTAACATTAGAATAAGAAACTTAGAAGATAGGAAGGAATCTTAAAGTGCACTTAGTCCAACTACTCACTGGACGCTTGGACCCCTCTCCAATTTACTATCAAGTAGCACTTGCATCCTTCTAGTGACAGGGAGCTCACTATCTCCTGATGTAGTTCAGTCCAGGTTTGAGCAGTTCTGTTAGAAAATTCTCCCCGATGCTATGCTAAAATCTGTCTCTCTGAGAAAGAATGGATTTGTTCCCGTAATCATTTACCTCACCTTCTGGATTAGCCACTATCCACCGGGGTGCGGGGGGCACAGGGAGTTGGCATTGTTTACTTCCTGCTGCTATTTGTAAGGAACATCAGTCTCTGTTCCCAGCACCCTTTGCCCAAGCAGATGACTGTGTGGTTTGCCCAGGGGGACATCTGTTTGATCGACCAAGGGCCCTGATGGTTTCACCAGCTTAGGACAAAGGTGGTTCTCCCTCCAGCCCCAGACTTCTCACCCCTTTGGCCTCGCGGTGAAGTGTGTCTTGGAAAGTCATCCCGTTGCCCCAGTTTTTGATCCTCACATGCCGTGGGCAGGCTGATGGGGGCACATCCAGGTTGACTAGGGATTCTGGAGACTTCTAGAGGGGGAAAAACCAGGGATTTCCAAATGCCTCCAACCCCAGGCCCCTGGGCCCTGCTTTGGCTTTGGGTGGGGTGGGCTGCTGTGGGTGGGCTGCTGTGGGTTTGGCTCAGGGTGTCGGTCCTGTCCTTCCTCCTTTCCTGGCAGCCTGGCCACCTGGTCCAGTGCCGGCGAAGAGCTCCAGGTGCCTGGGCCACTGGCCAGGCTTCTCTCCTCACCCAAGACCCTGCCAAATCCTCCCTCAGAGGAATTGCAACAGGAGGGACTAAGGTTAGATGCAAGGGAGACTACTGTCACAGAAATCAGGACAAGGAAGAATGTACCACTGCCTTCCACTGAGGCACTTAAGAATGTGAAAACCATCTTCTCTCCCACCCATTTCTCTGCCCATCTCTCTGGAACACTGAGGTGCAAAGCCCTTAGGGAAGATGGAACCAGTGGGATAGAGGCTGGGGGTTGGGACTGAAGGCTCAGCTGCTGAGTCTGGGATTATTCTGGAGTGTACTACCCCTGGCTCCATGAATGGTCTCCTCTCACTCATCCTGCCAGCCCACAGAGGCAGGTCATCCAGGGGCCAGCGCACTTGGGGGCCACCACTCCTGATCACCATGGGTCATCCCACTCTCCCAAAACCCTTCCTTGCCCCCCTTATGTCCCCCGGGTCTCTACTCACTGCCCAGACTCCAGCTTCCACCAGGCTGCTCAGCCTGCATCTGCCTGGGAGAGGGAGGAAGGGGCTTCCCACACCCGTGTGACTCACTGACCTTTACCGTTCCGGTGAGGGGCTGGGGGGACTCGTTCCGGTGCCTGCCGAGACTGTGACCCTTGGGATCATCCTGTGTCACTGTACTGTGAAAGGAAACAGCTATCATGAGCTGGAGTATCTGAGGGCAGAGAAGGAAGGATCTTGGAGCCCCCTCTGCCACTCCCTCATTTGATGGATGGGGGAACTCAGGTCCAGAGGGTGGGAGTGAAGTTCATGGCTTCAAGTCAAGGAGGATGTGTGTTTGTGGCGGGGGAGGCGGTCGGTCAGATCTCTTCTCTGCACCATCACCACCCTCCCTCCTCCTCTTCTTCTCTTACCTTCCCCCTACAAAGCCAAAAAGACGTGAGGGGAGCTGAGCCAAAGCTAGCAGCCCAAAGAGTAACCCGCAGAAGCTCTGGGAAGATGCTCCCTCAAAAGCTGAGTGCAAATGTGGTGCAGGGCTGGATGGGCAGAGAACGGCGCCTTCAACACTGCCCTCCCAGGGCAGCAGCACTGCCCACTACCCACTCATTTTGGGGGACTTAAGCTTTTGTATTTAAAATACCTGATTTATCTTGGTTTATTTATTTATTCTAAATTTTTATTATGGAAAATGTTAAACATACACAAGCAGAGATAATAGTGTAATGAACCCCCACGGGCCCTTCACCCAGGTTCAACCCAATTAAACAACTACCAACCCATGGCCAATCTTGTTTCGACTCTACTCTCCCAGCCCCGCCATCATTTTAAAGCAAGACTGAGACATCATGTCATCCATAAATATCTCAGGAAGTATTTCTGGAAGATAAGGACACTTTTAAAAAACATATTGGTTATATTTACTTTAAAACAACAGATTTAAAGAATTTAGCCTGTCCTTTGAAGAGGAAAAAGCCCTAATAGTCTGAAATCACTCAGAACCCGTTGGTTCTGGTTTGGGATTTCAGGTTCACTCTTCTGACAGATGCTACAGAGAACAGAAGACACGGGACTCCCCTCGGCCACACACATATGAGTGCCCCTCCGACAGTCACACCCCACAGAGGTCTCCTCCGGGGGCTAATCACATATGAGCCATTTTAGTATGAAGGCTGCTGCGTTCCCTATTCTTTGCAGTATTTTCTGGGGTGTGCATGCATGCACGGGCACATCCAGGGGGAAAGTGGGTCAGAGAGTATTACAAGGGTCTCTCATTTTCCACTTTATGCCTATCTGTGATGTTGGAATATGATGAATGAGCATGTATTGTTTATATTATTGGAAAAAGTAATGACTCTATATTTATATTAACATTACATAATTAACTACACACATCATATAGTAGCATCACATGATTTATAACTATAGAGAGATAGTGTCCCTTTAAGAGAACATAAGTACTTATCGGAAAGCAACTTGTATCTGAATCAAGTGATTCAGTGCCCTCACGTGACCATCTTTCATCACCCCTCTGACTGGGGTGCCCCACCAGCAAAAAGCCAATATAGGGTAATCTGGACATTCAGAACAGGTAAGCCATGGCTGAATGGTCATCATGGGGCTGCTTAAATAGGAAGGTGTTTTGAGTCTGGGGTCCCCAGCATCATCACCCCTCACCCCAACCCCACTCTGTTTGTTTTTGCTTCCTCTCACTTACTTCTGGCCAGAGAACTGGAGAATTTGAGAAGCTTATGGTCTACAGTAATGTTTAGATTGAGAAACAATGGCTTGGTATACTTAACATAGCTATTGCCCCCAAATATTAAAAAGCTCCCTGAAAATCCACTATACAGATGGGACCATAGTGAGCTCTAGCCCATCACCTATGGCTGGATATTTAGGTTGTGTCCAGTTTCTCCACTATTATAAATAATGCGTCAAACTGTATACATGGTCTGATGCTGGCTCTGCGTGTACGTGCGTGCGTGCGTGCATGTGTGTGTACAAAAGCATAGAAAACCCCTTGGGGGAAATGCCAGTGAATGTTACCAGTGACTTGCATTAAGTGATAAGATCATGGGTAATTTGAATTTTTCTTTACACTTGTCTGCATTTTCCAACTTTTTACAGTGACCATGAATTCCTTTTATAATTGGGAACATTTTTTTAATTTGAAAAATGAATAACAAAGCTACACACAGTCCCAGTTAGTGGGTTTCTTTGGGCCAGCTGCTGGAGATAGGGTGACCAGAAGCCAGGTGAGTGTATTAAGGATCTGGATACTTATTGCCAAATTATTGCATCGTCTCTCCAGGCACTCATGCAATTTGGCTAAACCCACAGCTGTGCTTGGTCCTTCCTGGGAATGGAGGACCTTGAAGGACCTGTCATCAACAGGAGTGCTGGAGTGTGCCGCTTGCTTGGACCCACAACTATCCGCAAGCCCTGAGTGACCCAGGAGACTGAGGTCAGAGCTGCGGTCTGTGGCTCGTCTGGGGCCCCATCTCCCTGCGGCCACCACTCCTCTACAAGGGCCCACCTCTCCATACACCAAGGGTGAGGGGCGAGGAGGCACTCTGGGAAATGGATCTTATTTGTAAAACAAGAATCTCTTTGCTTTCTTAAGCATATCTGTCCTAAAGGGTGTAGCAGACCCGGTGCTGAAAAATCTAGAAAGCTCCCAAGTGCTGAAACATCCACAATTCCTACTCCAGCCTGCATAGATGCCTCTCATGGGAGCATGTGGGGCTTCTCTGGGTCTTTGTGGCTATTGAATTGCAACCTCTTATGCATTCTGAACGAGGAAAATATTTAAGCTCTCATCGGAATCCTACAGAGCGAATATTCCAACCCTCATGTTTTCACGGAAAACCGCGGCTCAGAGAGAGTGAGCGCCGCGCGCAGTTCGAGCCCGGTCCCAGCGCGGAGCCTCGCGCCTCCCACCCAGGGCGGACCCCGGCCCGCGGGAGTACCTGGCTCGGCGGCGGCCGCAGGTGGTCTGTGGCCGGAGGATCCTGCGGAGGAGCCGGCAGAGTCGGGGCCGGGCGGCCTCGCACGCCGCGCTCAGCCCCTCGCGCATGGTCCCGGCGCGGGCGCTGCTCCGGGGGCGCCCCGCTCCGCGCGCCGAGCCGGCCGCTTTATCGCCGCCCGACCCCGCAGCCCCCGCCCCGGGGCGGAGCGAGCCGGAGAAGTGGACCGGATTCGGCTTCATCCCGCACCCGGCCAAGGGCCAGAGTGCTGGCTCCGCAGGCGGCCACCTGGTCCCGCCCGGGCGCGCCTTGCCCCCTGCATGCGCTTTCCTCCGATCGTCCCGGGACCCCCACACCCAATGGTCCACAGGGAAGTCTGCCTTTTGTATGCCACTGGACTTTCTCTGGGCTAAGACTGCGGAGCAAGTACACCCGGCCTGGTGTTTGTTATTCCCCGTGAAATAACAATAATGATCATAACAATAATGGACGGTGCTTTATAGTTTACAAAGCAAACTTTCCTGTCTGTTATTTCATCCACCCTTTACTAAATCCACTTAAGAAGGCAATTCTATATTGTTATCCCAACTTTATGGAGAAGGAAGCCGGGGACCCAGAGAGGTTAAAGATCTTGCTCAAGGCCAAACAGCAGCCCCAGGTCCACGGCCCAAGCTCTCTCACCTTACTGGCTGCCCCAGGGAATGCTATTTCTTTTCTGCATGTTCAGTGTGATTCCAGGAAGGAAGCCAAAGAAAGTGCAGGGCTGGGGGTGACTTTTAGTGGGAGAGACAGAGTGGTGCAACTGGACCAGGAGCCCCCTCAGGTCCCTTCCAGGCTTCTGGTCCTTGCTACGAAGGCACAGAGCCTGACGGCTTTGTTCCATCTGTACATTGCTCCGGACACGGGGAGCAGGATAACTCCTAGGGACAGGGCAGCAGCCCTCGACCTCAGACTACGGGAGCCCTCCTGGACATATTCCAGCATATTTATTCCCAAACTCAAATTACAGTGGAATGAGGAGGGTATATATTTATCCCGAGCCAACTGCAACCCAGCTCGACTTTGTTCCAAAATCCACATATCTTCATCTAAGATTTGCTTTTGTCTCTAAAACACACACACGCACATCCACACACACTATGTTCACTCCCTAATCATTTGTTTACATAACATATAAAATCATTAGTCACATATAATAGGTTCTTGGTCTTGTTACACCTGACTGGATTTGAAAATTACTTTTTAAAATCAAAATATATTAATTGGCTCCCACTACTTTCAGGATAAAATCCCCTTTGTACTGCTGCTTCCTCCTCCAGTAACATCCTCCCCCGCCCCACCCCCCTAACTGTAGGTTGCCGCCCAGCTGGGCCTACCTCCTCCTGAAAGCTTTCTCCCACCCCACTCCTCCCCACACTAAGCCAGGCCAGGCACCCCCACAGTATCCCCAGAAGAGATGCTAATGCACCCACATGGCCTGTAACCTCGTGTCTACCTCTCTGTCCCACCCCACCACCCCAATTTATAGAGCCCTTTAACATCGCATTCTCCGTGTACTCCTGAGTGCATGGAGAGGAAGGCATCGTTTCCTCCCCCCCGCCCCCCCATGGCAGGAACTGGGGCTCTTTCCTCTGTCCCTCCCAGCCCAGCGCAGAGTGGGCCCTCAAGGAGAGCCCGTATAGGGGAGAGGTTGTGAGTTTGGCTTTGGTTCAAACCTCAGCTCTACCCCTTTCCGGATATTGACATTGAGTAAGTCATTCACCCTTGTAAAATAAGGATAACAATAGTTTCTGTCTCGCAACTGACACAGTAATGAGGACTTTATAAACGTTATCTGTTATTTTTAGCTGCTGTGTACACAATTAATAAGTGGCTCAATTTACTTCATTAATAAACAGAAGGACTTCATTGACATTGACACCCAGCCCAGTGCCAGGTGAGGAGCCCTCTGCAATAATTGTTAACGGACTGGAACATGCCCAGGAAGGCAAGTGTGGCAACCCAGTGTAGCGGCTGTGAGCCAGGCTGCCAGATTTGACTCCAGCTCTGTCATTTGCCAACTGTGAGGTCTGAAAAATTACTTTAACTTTCTAGCCTTCAGTGTCCTCATCGCTACAGTAGGAGGATAACAAAAGTTCCTTCCTCGTGGACTGTTAGGAGGGTTAAATGGATTAATGTGTGATATTTTCTCTCCACCACCTCTAAGATCTGATTTGAGCACTTCCACCAGCTCCCTCCAGCTTAAAAAGATGGGTCAAGTTAGCTGGTTTGCCTTAGGTCAACCTACAGCTCAGGGCCCCACCTGGGGTCTGAGCTCAGGTCTCCGGAATAGTCCAAAAACACAAGTCAGGAATAACTGTCCATGCCGTTAAAGGGTGTGGGATTCAAGGATAAAGGCTGTAGGCCACACTGTAGGGGCCAGGGGAGGAGGGGATCAGGATGATGCTGAAAGATAGGGGATGGATTGCACCTGGATGGGTCGAAGGAGGAATGTGCTCTGTACGGCACTGGGGAAACTGAGGAAGACTGGGCTGTGCAGGTAGGCCGGACTCTGTCCAGAAAGGGTGATCATGTAGAAGAACTCTGCAGTCAAGCCTCAGTGTGGTGACAGGCAGTGGGGAGCTACTGCAGACTCTAGAGCAGGAGCATGACTTGCTGGGAGTCAAGTTGGAGCAAGAGGTCAGAGCCAGTGTTGGGGACTGCAGGTGGGGAGGCCAGCTGGCAGGGGCTGCAGCAGTGAGGTGAAGAGAAGGAAGGGATTTGTGACTTGGTGACCGAGAAGAGTCAAAGCAGATTCCTGGGGTTCAAGCCCTCCCAAGATCCTGGGAGGAGCTGTGAAGCCACTGTCAGCCTGCAGCATTTGCATCTGAAGCACCAGGAGGACATCAGAGGCTGTCCAACCCTGCATTCTCATCTCTTGGTCTCTGGGCCGCCTCAGTCACCACAGCCCAGACTGTCTGGTTTTAAACGTTCTCTCCTCCAGTTCAACCCTCACACCCTACCTGGCCTGTCTTGCTCAAGGATCTACAATGGCTCCCTGATACCAAGCAGAGCAAGCCCAAATCCCCTACTCTGCATTCAAGCCCTCCGCGCTCTCGCCTTGCCTCTGCTATCCCAGCCCCCCACCCAAGGCCCCCACCCCACCCCAGACCCAAGCTCAGCCATGCTTGCTTCTGTCTCTGAGTCTTTGCCCACCATCCCCCTTCCTGAAGTGTCTTCACCACTTCTCTTCCCCTCCCCACATTCTACCCACTCTTCTAAGTGAAGCCCTTAGAGGGACTGTCTAACACTGCTCGACCTTGACCTAGCTGCCGGCAGCAACAACAGTGACGACGCCCGCCACAGATGCCGTTTATTGGGCACTTGCTCTCTGCCAGGCACGGTGCCAAGTTGTTTACATGTGAAAATTCATTAGGCATTACTACCTCCTTCTTACAGATGGGGAAACTGAGGCTCAGAGGCTAGGGCACTTGCCAAAGGCCACAGGGCTATTAAATGGCAAAGCCACCTGCTCATCCCCAAGCCCACGCTCTTCACCCTGCTGCTTTACTGCCACCTCTGCTGCCACCTCCAGGGAACGCCCTGCCCACTGTGGTCCCCGGGAGAGGCTCCTCTGGGGCTGTCGCGCTGTGAGGTGGCCCTGAGTGGACTGGGGCTTTAGTTCGATTTGTGGTTTCATGTTATTGCAGATGGACCTGTCCTTCTGCCTGAGCAAGCCTCATCCTCCTCTCCAAGGCTACAAACTCTCCTAGCATGCTCTAGAAGCCTGTCCGCAGACTGGTTGGTTAGCTGACTAGTTCTCCCACTTCTGCCTCAAGCTTGCTTCTCCTACAAGTGAGGGGTTCAAATTCCAACTCTGTAATTATCCAGCGTGTGACAGGGGAAGTCGCTTTCCTCTTAGAGCTTCTATTTCCTCATCTGTTGAATGAGACAATAACTCACACTTCACAGAGCCGCCGTGGAGGCTGGTTAAGAGGCAAGGCGTGTGAAGTGCCCTGTATCGCCCTGGCACAGAGTGGTATAAATAATAAACCTGAATGTGTATTGGCACCTGCTCTGTATGGGCACACGGCTAAGTGCTTAACATGCACGCTCTCATTTCACTCTCAGCATGCTATGAGGTGGTTCCCATTGGTGTCCGCATACTGCAGATGAGAACACCTGAGGCTCAGAGAGGTTAACTGGCTCTAGATCACACAGCCAGTGAGAGACAGCCCGGGGCCAGCCAGAGCAGCACAGCACAGGGCGTGGACACGGTTTGTCTAACATCCTGGTATTCTTCAGCAGGTTGACATTCAAACAGATCTCATCTCGTGGTTATTACTGGTGAGGCATTCTCACTGGCGAATCAGAATGGACGTCAGCCAGGAAGCCTCCCAGTTCTAACCGCTGGGCTCTACTGCCTCCCCTTCTCAAGTCAGGTATTGCATATTGCCTTCCCATATTCTTCCCCCAGAGATTCCAAGCTCCTTGAGGGCCAGGACGGGGCCCTGTCCCTTCCTTCTTCACGTAGTGTCAGGTGCAGTGAGGTGCCCAATAAACAGGGGCTGCATCAGATTCCAACAGGGACATCCCAGAAGCAACTGGCGAGATCAGACCTCCAGTGAGAAGCCAGGAGCAGAGAGAAGAGGTCTGAGCTGGCGACTCAGAGTGAGGGATGGAAGCCGAGAGGATAGCAGCAGGAGGTGGCAGCAAGGCAAAGCTTACCTGGAGGGAGCCTGGATGGTTTTCCACACATTGTTGTTGAGGTCTGTTTCCTCAGTCAAGTCATACTGGTTGGATCTGGCCTTGAACAGAAACTTCCAGGGACAGGCCATCTCTGTGGCTTTGCAAAGCAGGTCACTTCTCTGGATTTAAACTCAGAGATTCTTCACCTGAGGAAGGAGAAGGAGATAACGACGGAAGGTTGAGGAAGAGTTTACAGAGATGGGCCTTCTCAATACGGTTAGTTTACTAAAGAATCAGTACAAAAGTTAACATAGGTCTTGAACAGCCACTTCATCGATGCTTTGCAACCTCTGTTCCTATTTTGGGTTTGGATTTGGGGATCCTGTGGACACAGACTTTAATTCTACACAGCCACATAACAATCTAAAGGGAAAGCCTGGAGCCATAGCTCCACAAGAACAAAGCGCATGCCCTGCGAGCCTCCTTAATGGAACCTGATGGCCCACGTGACCCGGGCAGGCTTCACTGCTGACCCGAGGCGGGGTAGGGAGGAGCCCGCTGGCCACTGAAACGTGGGTGAGTCGGTCTGGCCCTGCAAGACCGCTTCCAGCAGCTCTTATTAGCGACTGTCATTTTATGCCTGTCATTGTAGAAAGCACTCGTTATAGCTGCTTTTCTTTTAAGATTTTGCAATTATTGTCGACGCTCCCACCTGTTCCTTTTTTATTATTCAGGAGGGGACGGGGCACTCCACTCAAGATTTGAGATCATCTTTTTTAAAGAAGGCAAAAAACGAGAGCTAAGTGGAGGCCTGTGTCTAGTCTGGGCTTGCCCCCAGCCCACCTCCTCAACGGGAAAACCCTTTGCACTGGGAGACAGGGTGGTTGGTGATGGGGCCCTTATAAGAATCTCAGAGCCCCTGGATCTAGGTTCAAATCCTGGCTCTGCTGGATACATGACCTGGATCCAGTTATTCAACTGACACTCATTTCTTCATCCATAAAATGGGCTTAATAATATCCATCTTAACAGAATTTGTTTGGGAGGGGAGAGTTGCATGTTATAAGAACTGGACAGGATAATCTATATTAAAAAAAAATTCTTAGCAGATTACTCCCCACTCTCCAGTCTGAATTTTCCAGAAAGTTTTTCACTGAAATGTAACAATCACAGCAAATTTTGCAGAAAAAAATATCTGAACAAGATGTGCTGTTCAAATGGCCAAGGCTCAAGTTGGTGTGTCTTAGACATTCTCCCAGTTTATTTCTAGGTGGAAAATTCTCACAATTTTCTGAGCCTTCCCAAACAGGAAGAAGCAAAACCCTCTCAAAACAGCAGCTTCCCCAGAAATGAAGATAACTCACCTCGCAGCTGGCTGCACTGCCTCTGCAGGGTGTGGACAGGCAAACTGGGGGTAGACCCGCTCCTTGAGAACTGCAGGACAGCCTATAACTGCCTGGTCCCCTCGCCAAGGGCGGCTGAGAGGTTTCAAACCAGCGACACTGAGTTCTCTGGGGCCGGAGAGCCTCCGTCTTCAACTCACTGCAAAGTTATGATCACACTGGCAGCTCAGAAGTATTTATACACACCCCATGCTATGCAGGGAGCCGTTTTTGCATAAAGGTCTCTTTTTTGTTTCCAAAGGGAGTGTCCCGGCTGGGTGTACAGTTAGCTAATTTATGACTGGGACGCCTGGCCTGTGGGTGACTTGATCCTGCTGTTACATCACTCCGGGCAGTGCATCCCCAGTAAACTCACCTCTTCCTGGTCCTGGGGCCAAGGGCAGCTCATCAGCAGGGTGGTGGGTCAGATAAAAGAGTCATCACGGAGCCACACGGCCACCCTTTCAGCATCTGGGGGATTTTTTTTTTTTTTTCCTCAGTGGGGAGCTCTCTGGTTAATTCCTGTCCAGCCTCTCAGTTTTCTAGTTTGTGGCAGGAGTCCAGGAAGCTGTGGAATATTGACAGTATGGAACACACCGGAAAATGCCCAGGTTACAAAAGGCCAGTGATGCTGGGTGATGCCAGCATTCCAAACAGGCCCCTGAAATATTCAGCTTGAGGTTTTTGGAAGGGAAGGAAAGCCACTGGCACAGAGAGACCGCTCAGATTTGGTGTCACCAACGTCCCACCCTTCAGCTCTAAGTAAGCTATGGTAGAACGGCAGGTAGAATTTTCTACAGGGAAAAAATTCCTTTCTTATAACAGAAATTATAACTTCTGATATGGAAAATTATAATTTCTTATAATTCTGTTTATTTTAGTTCTTCAAATACAGTATTCTTGTATGGTATGAATTGTTCCGTTATGGAAGGAAAATAACAACTCCGTTAGGGAGGGGTCACAAATGGAGGGAGAAAAACCACTCCTGGTCTCACCGTCCTAACACATCGCTGTCACCATCCGTTCCTTTTCTTCCTCTTTTTCCCAAATTAAATGCAGCATTATAATGGATTGAATTTGTCTAATATAGACAAACTGAGTCACAAAAAAGACAAAATAGGAGCTCAAAGACATTTGTTGAGTGAATGAATGAATGAAGGAAGGAAGGAAGGAAGGAAGGAAGGAAAAATAAGGGTAGACTGCAATGAATTTCAACATATCAAAGCCATCCTTCTTTCAGGCTTGAGCCAGTTCAGTTCAGGGAAATCAATACTGCTTAAGGAAGGATGCAGAGTCCCAGGGCTCAGGGAGTGCAAAGCTCAGAGAAAAGAATGGATAATTACAGTACAGGGTGATACCTGCAGTGATGGAGGGAGGGCATGGCTGAAGTAGCTGAATCTGCATTGCTCAGGGAAGGTTCAGGGGAGAGGACACCAGGGCAGGGTTTTGAGGGATGATTAGGAGTTTGCCTCACCCTAACTTCTATTCCCTGTAACTGCTTCCACATATTCTGGCTATACCTGCAGCAAACACATGTCTTAATTCCTTTAACTCCTCCAACAACCCTACGAGGGGGATACTATTACTTGGCATTCATGGAATCCCCTAGAATCCCATCTATTGGCATCAGAACACCTGGTTGGTTTTGCTTCAGAAAATACAATTATTCAGTTATTTGATTTGTCAAACATGTTGGGCTTTGGATGCCTGGGCAGTGAAATCCGAGGATGTGTGTGCACTGCTCTTCCTTGAGGCTGGTGCCCTGGCTCTCTTAGATGCTCCCACCCACAATGAAGAGGACCGCTCCCAAATGCAGGCCCTGGGGAGTATCTCCATGTCCTCGTTATCTTGTTGTTAGCCCAAATTTTCACCTGACAAATGGTGGGCAAGACAAAGTGAGTAAATGAGACACATGAAAACGCTTTGAGTTATGGAGCAAAAAGGCAGCCAAGTAAGAATTTTTGGTCCCTGCTGTCGGTCAGAGAATAATAATTTACTTTTTCACAAAAAACAAGCAGATGACATGACCTGCCTTCCATAGTACCTGTCCTCAGATGGGTTGGCACTCCGCCACAAACATTTGCTTTTAAATTCCCAATTCTCTTTCTCTCTGTAACATTACATTCATTTATTTTTTTTTCAGTTGGGATAAAACTTACATAACATAAAATTCACCATTTTGACTATTTTAAAGTGTACACTTCAGCAGTTTTTAGTCTATTCACAGAGTCGTGTGTAACCATCACCACTATCCAATACTCTCTTACCTGGCGAACAGTAAGGAGGGGAGTAAAAACAGCAGTAAGTATTGTGACACACAGAGAGGTTAAGAGATTCACCATGGTCACACAGCAGGCAGTCTCTGAATGGGGACAAACAGTGGGCCCGCTGTCCACCCCAGAGCTCTAGTCTGCAGGGTCCAGCACTGACCCCCATCCTGGAGGCTGTCTTGGATCTCCCTCTCTGCATGTCCTGTGGCTCTCTGAGCCTGTGTGGCTGCCTCACCCTTGGCCCTGCTCACCCAACAGGCTGCATTCCTGGGCCTCTTCTGATGACGGATGCAGCAGGTGAACGCTGCCGTGGAGAAATCAAAATGTACCTTGCAGGGCAGGCTGGGTCCAGGTGGGCCCCCAGGGGGTGGGGATGGAGGTTCCGAGGCTGCTGTGGAGAAATGCCCCCCTCCCTTCATCACTGGCACGTCGTCCCGGGCGCCACACAAATAGCAACCAGCACTGGAATTTCTCAGCCTCGAGTTTCTGGGACTGATTTTCCATCAGATAAAGTGGATCTGTCCCTACGCTGGATTGTGGAGATGGTTCAGCCCCAGGAGGCCCTCGGGACTTTGCATCCTGGAAGCTCTTTCCACAAGAACAATGATCAGAGAGAACACTTACTAAGAGAGGTGATTAAATTGTCAACTGTTTAATTGTTGTGTTGTGTGTTTATCACACAACAGCCTGTGAGGTGGGTGTTCTGACCAGCCCCATTTTATAGAGGGGGAAAATGAGGCTCAGTGAAGTCAAATGACTTGTCCGAGATCACACAGGCAGGCAGTGGAGAGGCTAAAACCCTGGAGTTCCAGCTTGTAGGCTGGAGTCCCCCTCCCTACCTCCACCCCCAACCTGCGACCCCTTGCGGGGTAGAGCCAGGACACAGACCCAGGAGCGAGGCTCCTGCGCCACACCCCACTGCCTCTCTTGGAGTCTTTTCCTGCCCCACCCTCCGGGAATAATAATTCTCCATGATAAGAATAATGACAGCTACCACGGATCGAGCCCTTGCTCCCTAACTACAGCCGGGCCTGAGCTTCCCTTTCATCCTCTCAACCAATCCTCCAGCAGCCCTCCGTGAAGGTACTATTATTATGCCAATTTCACAAGTAAGGAAATGGGGACACAGAAAGGTTGGGCAACCAACCCAATGTCGCTCAGCTCATAAGGGGCAGAGCTGAGGCTTGGCCCGGGTCTGAGACCAGGGTCCTTGCTGGGTTCCAGACGACTCCCCACTTGGCATGCCCCTGTGCACATGCCCATTTCGCTGCGTGTGCCCACACCCCGGGGGCAAGGCCAAGAAGTAGCAGGAAGAGGGTGGGAAACTGAGGCCAAGCTAAGAGCTGAGGATTTCCTGGGGTTGAATGTTCTCGCATTCAGAATGGTGCCAGCTCTGCACAACACAAGGCTGGCACGGGGCCCCCAGGAAGGAGGAGAGGAGTCCCTGCCGCGTGCCCCTGCTTCACAGAAGTCCCCACAGAATCCTCTCACCAGCTCTTTGAGGGAGCTACTGTTATTTCTAATTTACAGAGGAGGAATCTACAGTTCAGAGAGGGAAAGTGACTTGCCTGAGTCACCCAGGGAGTAAGGGGCAGAGCTGAGATTTGAACCTAGAACTGTCAGACTCCCAAGGCGGGTTCTTCCTATGCATGTGTTTATGGGGTTTCTGTTAGGCAAGACTCAGCACGATGGTGGGCAAAGCGGTGATCCCAAAGACACAGCCCTTGTCCTCCTCACTCCCAGCATATGCATAACAATAGGGGAAGGAGGGCCACCCTTCACTGTACCCTAAGCTCTGTGAGGACAGGGCACTGTCTGTCACACTTATTGCTGTATTCTTGGGTATACAGTAGGCGCTCAAATATTGATTGCATGGAGGATCTGTGCACTTACTACGTACGAGGCACTTGACCCAAACTCGTGCCAACCCTGCAATGAAAGTGTCATTGTTCCCATTTGACAGGTGGGGCACTGAGGCTCAGAGAGGTGGCCCAGTGGCTCAAGGACCCACGGATCAACACTGGACAGCCAGAAATGCAGACCTGTGTCCTCCCAGCTCCGAAGCCGGCTAGGTGTCCATGGAGGGGCTCTGTGCTGACTCCAGTGCTCTATGAAGCTCTTGGCTGGGCTTCTCAGATGCCAAGGGCACCAGACGTTCAGGGCGGGGGGAGGAGGGTGCTCAAGGAGGCTGAAACCCTTTAGGCGAGAGGGGAGCTTAAAGGACAGAAGGGCTTAGATGGGTGAGGAGAGAGAGGAGGGCCTCTCTGGCCAAGGAAAAGCCTCAACCTCCATAGCTTCTAAATGAGGGCGTTAGCGTCCGCTCTCCACGGCGGGGATGCCGTATCTCCCTGGACACAGGGACTTCCCGCTCTGGTCCAGGAAGCTCCGGCTCAGCACCCCCGGCGCCTGGTGCCCCAGGAGGAGTAAAGAAAGCAGCAAGGCATCGTCAACGTGTGGTTGTCATGGTGAGCCGCAGGGCTGGCGTGGAGATCGTGTCCCTGCCCTCGGGGTGGCCAGGAGGATTTCAGAGCAGCCCCCCAGCTCAGCTGGGCCAGGCAGCCAGACCGCCGCAGGCAAGCTCTGTGACGGCTGATTGCCACATGATGACGTTTCTGCAAGGCCTGCAGCCAGCGGGCCTACCTCCACCACCCTGCACAGAGAGGGTCGTGAGATCAGACTGGACTGTGTCCAACCCCGGCTCAGCCCGGTGAACTGGGCCAACTCCCTCAAACGCCTCCCCTACCTCAGTTTCTCTAACTGCAAAAACAGATGAGTCAGAGCTTCTTTGCAGGCTTTTCCTGAGGATAAAGTGAGATCCTCTCCTTAAAGTGCCAGGCACTCAATAGATACTAGTAGTTCCCTTCCTAGCAAATGGGGAAACTGAGGCCAAGAGTATCTCATCCTCGAGTCTCACAACAATTCATCTTGGCTCACCCCTTCTTCAGTCCAGCAGGGCCCCAAACTTCCTCGTACTCATCTAGGCCCTTCTCCTCCTTTCCCAGGCTTCTGGTATCACCCCCCTGTGGATGGTGACGTGGCTGTTATATGTCCGGTCTCCCCCCACCGTATAACCTCAGTACTCTGCGCACTGTAGGCGCTCAGTAGATGTCCTTACTGATGATGCTGCAGGCAAGGTCCATATCTGGGTGAACTCGGGCCTCTTTTCGGTCAAATGATGGGTTTCCCAAAGTGTGGTCAATGTGCGTAAGGCAATCCAGAGGGAATTTGGGATGGTACCTGGAATAACATTTTTTTATTTTCATAGTTGAGGTATTTATTGATGTGGTTACTATCTGTGGCAATTTACTGGTTTTCCACTTGTGGAAAATGATAAAAATTTATTTTAGAAATATATTTAAATTAAAAAGGAATCTATTTAATGAAAAATATTTAAGCAAATAATAATAGAGGTGGCATGCAGATGTGACAAAAATTATGGAGGTAGGACTCAAGCAACTACAAGGAAAGTGTACTAGAGGGCGTTCGAATTTGGCTCTTTCTCTGTATTTGTGCCTGTGTGTGACCTGTGGCAAGTCAAACGTCCTGACTAGGCTTCCCTCCTCTCACCTATCAAAGGAACGCCTTGGGAAGAGGCTTTCTGAGGATCCTCCCAGTTCTGACACCCCAAGGCCTTAGGTCTCAGACAGGCCCCCAGCCCCTGAGCCCCATGTCATTTGTTGACTGACCACTGGAGGGCATGAGTCACACAAATTGCAGCGGCTAGGGTCTCCCCTGGTTTGTATCACCTAGAGTGACTTGGAGATGACAGAAGCAGAGGGATTTTTGCTGGAAATGCCCCGGTGGTCACCTGGGGTGGACGGACCCAGGGTGGACTAGGAAATGGATGGCCTTGCTTGCTGAGTCCCCGGAGTGTGACTCACGCTAGCTGGTGCAGGCCTGCCACTTTACCGGCAGGGCCAGCATGGTGAGTGAGGACCTGACCAGGGCGTTGCAACCAGGAAATTTCTGTAAGGACCTGATTTCTCATCAGCACTTCCCAGAACATCTTCCCGTCTCTGCCCTTCCATGCTGCTTCCTAGGTTGAGGATTGATATATAGAGTAGCATCCACGCAATGCTGAGGTGTGGCAGCACAAGGGTCAAAAATTCAGGTGCAAGTACAGTCAGGCATCCGTATCCGTGAGGGATTGGTTCCAAGACCCCCTGCAGATACCAAAATTCAAAGATGCTCAAGTTCCTTATATAAAATGGCATAGTATTTGCATATAATCTACGAACATCCTCCTGTATACTTTAAATCATCTCTAGAGTGCCTATAATAACTGACACAATGTAAATGCTATAGCAATTAGTCGTTATAAATAGTTGTTATACTCTATTGTTTAGGGAGTAATGACGAGGGAAAAAAGTCTGTACATGTTCGGTGCAGATGCAACCATCGTAGGACTTTCCATCTGTGGATGTGGTACCCGCAGATATGGAGTGCCAACTGTAGTGTATTTGGGACATTCAGGTGACGTCAGCAGAGGCATGGAGGAAGGCAGGCAGCCAACAAGGGTGCGCTAATTGGCCAGCTACCACAATGGGCCACTGGAGTTCAACCCTACAGAGAACTTAGGAAGTAGGGTAGAACTCAGGCCTCAGAGTGGTTCCACCTGAGGGGAAAGGCCGCTGGCTGTTTGTCCAGCAATTCCATAGCATCACTGATTGAGGCTGTTCCCAGTAGGATTTAACTCCCCAGGGCCTGCTGTGGGCAGAGTGGCCTTCCGTGGTTCTGGAAAAGCCCTCAGGCCCGGAGACGTAGATGCGGGCACCTGGAATTCACAGGCTGCACTGGAACCAGGGATGTGGGCAGAGCGCAGGCTGTACTGTGACAGGAGGGTTAGGGTTAGGTAAACCGAGGAGGAAGAGAAGTGTTTGGTCACTTTCTTCCCAACTTCAGCCTCTGAGGATGTTGGATGTGGTGCAAGAAGTTCTAAATGCCTTCACACCCTCTTGGATCCTTCCCTAGATATCTGTGCATCTTTGGTTGGGCCATGTGAGCCCTCTATTTTCTCAATTAAGGTTCTCTGGAGCCTTTCCAGCTCTGATACCTGGGCTTTCTGAGTCTCCCCACCTCATGTGTGTCTTGTCTCTGGTGCTCTCAGGAGAGTCCCCTTCCCAAGCAGAGTGCCCACCAAAAAGCAGAATCAGCAATAACTGGCACCTCCGACTCCAGACTCCGGCCACTTAGTGCACAAAGATGTTCAGAGCATCGTTGCATATGAGAGTCACAAACAACCTAAGTGATCATCATTCAAGAAAGGGATGCTGGTCCAGCTTTAGGGTCCAGCTTTATGGTGGACCATTACATAGTCAAAGAAATGAAGTATGTTAAGAAGTTTTTATGACAAGGAATAATGTTTATGATACCAATAGAAAAACATCAGCTTATAGTGCAAAATGATTCCCCACCGTGTAAAATAAAGGCATAGGGAAAAAAAAAACTGTGATAAAAAAATACTAAAATATTAAGAGTAGTGGAAATGAGGGATCGTTTTTTACTTCTTTGCCTGTCTCTGTATTTTCCATGTAGGACTGTGGTCGGGGTGGGGGGTGGGGACCACGCAGTTTGTGTCTATCTATGTCAATCGGAACCTGGAGGAGTGTTCTCAGAGGAGGTTGACAGTCCCCAACTAGATGAAATGCTTTGTTTCCTCCCGCCCATGGCTGCTGAGCCTGTGAGAGAGGCACCTGCGTTATGTAGGAGGGAATTGGGCTTGAGCATCAGACACCTGCATCTCTCCTGCCTCATCCTGGCCCCCACCTCAGGACTCTCCCCCTTCTCCAGGAGCTCCCAGGCAGCCACGCCTTTGCACGCACTGTTCTCTCTGTCCAGAATACCCTTCCACACAGTTCCCTGCCCCCCCTCTTTCCCTGCCTAACTCTACTCCCCTTCAGAGTCTGCTCCACTTCATGGTATTGTCATCTCTAGAAGGTTCACCTGACCCTCCATCTCCAAGCTCCCTGGGGTTTCCCTCCAGCTCAACACTGATCCCACTGTTTTAATTGTTGGCTCACTTATCTGTCTCCTTTACTAGACACAATTTCCCCAAGGCCAAGCCCATGTCTCACAGATCTCTGTAGCACCAGCACCATGCATGGTACACAGTAGGTGCTCAATAAAAATTTTTAAATTAAGATATAATTCACATACCATAAAATTCACCCTTTTAAAGTATATAATTCAGTGGTTTTTAGTATATTCACAAGATTGTGCAATCATCACTGCTATCTAATTCCAGAACATTTCCATCACACCCAAAAGAAACCCCACACCCACTAGCAGTCACTGCCCATTTCCTCCTCCTCCCAGCCCCAGGCAACCACTAGGCTGTCTTTTGTATCTATGGATTTGCCAATTCTGGACACTTCATATAAATGAAATCATGCAATGTGTGGCTTTTTGTGTCTGGCTTATTTCACTTAGCATAATATTTTCAAGGTTCATCTATGTTATAGCATATATCAGTACTTAATTCCTTTTTCTGACCAAATAATATTCCATTGTATGGATATACCACATTTTGTTTATTCATTTGTTGTTTATCCAATTGTTGATGGACATTTGGGCTGTTTCTGCTGTTTGGATGTTATGAAAAATGCTGCTATGAACATTTGAGTACAGGTTTTTGTGTGAACAGATATTTCCAATTCCCTTGAGTATATACATAAGAGTGGAATTGCTGGGTTATAGAGTAAATTTATGTTTAATCATTTGAGGAACTGCCAGACTATTTTCCAAAGTGGCTGCTCCATTTTAGACTCCCACTAGTAGTGTATGAGTGTTCCAATTTCTCCACATCCTCTCCAACACTTGTTATTGCCTATCTTTTCTATTATAACTTCCTAGTGGGTGTGCAGCGGTCAATGGACTCTTGATGAATGAATGGGTAAGTAGCCAATGAACGGATGGATGGACATGTAGAAGGGGATGCCAGTCCCTGAGCTCTGAGCCCTGATTTTGGTGGGAGAGACTGCTCCCCACTTGCTGGGGGCCTGCACCGAGTGGAGATGTAGCACTCTGCAGCCTGCCCTCGGCAGTGGCTCAGACACCCAGTCTGCCTCAGTCTTGGGTGCCTCAAAAGCGTGCAGGTGGCCTGGACACCCCTAGGCGCATGGAGAGGCTCTCAACAGAGCCCCTTTCTGGATGGGGCAAGGCCTGTAACCCCTCTGGGCCTCAGTTTCCGCTTCTGTGAAATGGGAATAACAAACCCCAGCCTGTGGGACGACTGTCAGATGAGGGAAAGTACATAAATTGCCGGGCGCAGCTTTTAGTAGGTGTTCCTTTCTCCAGTCTGTTTTCTCAGAAGTCCGTCCAATATGTGCATAAATGTCACTTGACTAATTAACTACCAGAAAAGAGCTTGAGAAGAGACACGAGGTGGAAAGGGTGGGGGAAAGGGAGAAAGACAGGCAAGAGGTTCATATATGGCAGAAAACTGCAGCAGGGGCAAGCAGCTGGCCACTGAGTGGGTGGAGGTCACAGACAATCCGGGGAGGATTATCACAGGCCTCAGAGGGGAATTTCCTCCCAGCCATTGGTGTCCTCAAGCACCACTCCTGCCGTCTGGATCCCTGAGCCTCCTACTCAGGTCCCTGGAGGGTGGCGGGGGGGTGGGGGGCAGGGCATCTGAGTGGTGCTGGTTTGAACTCAACTGCAGGTCCGCGGGCCAACCTCACAGAAGGGCTCTCCAGATTCCAAGAGCAAGGACGGCAAATGGGTTTTATCTGTCGTGCCACCCTTAATAGATAAGTGATGGTTACTCAGAGCCTCGCAGTGAGAAGGACATTAAGGTTCTGTATTTTAAGGGGCTCAGTAGGAGAAAGTAGCCGCATCTGCTCCGGGCACAGGAGTGGGGTGTCATAAGAACAATGATCCGTATTTACTGTCCCGGACCGTATAAGGAGAGCGCTCTGTTGGGTAGGTTCTATGTCACCTAAGTAATCTGTTGTTTGGGGCAGTTTAAAGGTCAGGAGAGAAAGAGGAAAGGATTAAAATAAATTGCTGAAGTGACTGGGCTGGTGGTATCGATGGCTTCTTGCTCATGGTTCTACCTGCCCTCTGGGGAGTGCTCAGAGTTGAGCGCCTGGTTTATGGCAACCTGGGCAGAGGTTGTCACTACCACTTAGAAAGGCCAGGAGTGCCTTTAGAGCCAGGCCCGCTTCAGGGATTCTGAGCTCATCTGAGTGACTCCTGGTGAGCTGGTTCCCTGGTTCCATGTAACATGGGGACAGTGGTGACGTGCATCTCACAGGGCTGCTGTTTAAGTTGCCAGATAATCTAATGGACCCTGATGAAGAAGGGAAAGGTGTGTGTTGGGGGAGAATATATGCTCTCAGTTTTACCAGAAGGGAAAACTGAAGCATGCAGTGGGTTGGGAGAGGTGGAGAAAATGCACAGAAACATAGGTACCTTTGTGATTGCAACTTTGTCACAGGCCCTTGTTCTGTCTGTAATTCCATACTAATTGTTTTGTCATTAATACTTAACTCCTATCTGGAAAGATTCCTTCTAGAAGCACCACAACATCTACTCCAGCCCAGCCATTTCTGACAGGTTTCCTGGGTGTCAGAGCAGGTGGCCTGCTGGGCCCTCTGCCTCCGAGGGTTTGAACTGAAGACGGAGAGAGGAGCAGTGGTTGCTAATAGGTTAGACGTCCCAAAGACCCCCAGAGAGAAGGTGGAGGGCGGGAGCCAGGGGCAGAAGAAGCCATGAGAAAGCAGGCACCCTGAAGTCGGGGAGTGGAGGGCAGATGCTGCAGGAGGAGCAGGACAGCCCAGCCAGACAGTGTGAGGAAGACCCAGGCTTGGACTGAACTGCATTCGGGGTCCCAAACTCTCCCCAGACTGTGTGACTCTGGGTCATGTCATCCAGCCTCCAGCTTCCTTATTGCCCAGAGCATTCTCCAATAACTCTCATTCCCTGAAGGGACCTGAGTGAGAGGCTTGTACTTTTGCAGCTCCTTAACAGAACCTAACATGGGTACTATTGCTTTATTGAGGAAATCTCCTATTTTGTGGTAAAAATGAAAGTGAAAGTCTTACTGGGATTGAGGAAGGAGAGGTTGATCCTGGAAAGTACCCTGTGTTGTGTGCCAGTCTCAGCTTATGAATGACCAATGTTGTGGTTGGACCAGCCCTTGTGGTTCTTATTATGACTGCAAGATGCCCCTCAGCAAAATCTATCAGGGAACTTTGAAAAAATAAAGGTTTACTAATTATAGGACTTGGAAATTACACAGCACACCTGGGACCACACAGAAAGGTCTTGGGTAGAGAGAGAGAGAGCATGGGCCTAGGGTTCTCCTTTTATGAGGTCGAGGGTAGCGGCCTAAGGTTTTGTGGGCTCACTCTTCATTGATGAATTTAAAACTTAAGAGTGGGAATTTAAAACACGGGAAGAAAAAAAAATGAATGGCCCAATGGTGAGTTATTGAAATCAACCAAGGTCTCTAAAATAAAGGAGCCTCAGTGGGGGGAGGTGGCCTGGCTCTCTGTCTAGTCCTGTGTCTGGAAATGTGTTTATTCCAGATCGCCATCTTTGAAGAGGATGCCTGCTTGAAGTGGATGCCTTGGCAACGTTTAAGTCAGGCACTTGCATTACAGAAAAGAAAACAAAACAACTCTCAGGGCTTACACTGCAATCCACGGTGTGATGCCCAGGCATCAGAGTCATGGTAAGGACACTAACTGCCTGGGTAGCTGATGTACTAAAAGTCAGGGATAGGGCACGTTGTAACCCAGAAAGTACACATCTGAATAGGATTATAGTAACAAATCCTATAATAATAATAATACAGGCAATAGTTTGAAATCCAGTCCACAGCCATTGTCCCAAACTTGAAAGGGTCTAGCCATGAAAATAGGTCAATGATCTTGGGGGCTGGCCCTGGGAATCTGTTCAAGGATTTGGGTAATATTGTGAAATATTTTAACATCTTGGGCCATCTGGTAGAAGTAGGTTTGAACCTTGTCCTGAGTTGGTAGATTGCTCCATATCTCATTGAACTAGTCATTTAGTCCTAAAAATAGGTCAGTTCAGTTAAAAAATTGTATCTCATTTCGGCAGGTGGTGATGCAAGTGGGTTCCTCAAGTTAGGCCTACATGGTGCAAGTATTGCTCTAGGTTATTTGTTAAGAGGCATTTCTATGGAAACAAAAGGACAAACAAAGGTTAATGATTGGGGTAGATTATAATCGCAGTTTCTGAGTTCTGAAGGCAGCCAGTTGAGAAGATTTCTAGCTGTCAGGCTCGAAGCATCTTCAGATGAGTGAGGGCACATGAGTGGCCTATAGAGCAACAGATATGAACATTGTCCATAAATGAGCCATTGTGGTGATTTCTCTGAAGGTCATATCAAGCTCTCCCACTTTAGCTTGCATGGCTTTGGGAAAAGGGCAGTTTTAGTTCTCAATTATTCCAAGTCAGAAGGGTGGGAAAAAAATTGGAAACATTAGTTTGGAGGGTTGTAGCCAGATTTTGGAGGAAACAAGAAGAATTTAGTATCCACTCCAGTTTACAGGTAGAAAACAAAATCTTAAAGACAATTAACAGGACTAGAATCTGATATCCACAAAGGTGTATTACTGAAACATAATTTTTTTCTCTCTACAATCATCCCCATTTCTATCAGAGATAATCAGAATAAAACTAACTTGTGTGTAAAATATAGTCTCATAAAACTTGGATTGGTTATTTACATAGGCACAGCAAGAACAGTGATTGACTGCATAGATTCTTTTTTTTTTTTTTTTTTTTTGCTGAGGAAGAGTCACCCTGAGCTAACATCTGTTGCCAATCTTCTCTTTTTGTATGTGAGCTGCTGCCACATCATGGCCGATGATGAGTGGTGTAGGTCCACACCTGGTAACCAAACCTGGGCTGCCAAATCAGAGCACGTGGAACTTAACTACTAAGCCACGGGGGCTGGCCCTGTATAGACTCTTTTAAGTCTACTTTGCTGGAACTTTTCATAAAGAATCTCAGACTGAACTTTTAAAAGCCTCTGGAGGCTAAGAAGACAAGTCAAGGACTTGTCATCACACTTCGCTTGAAATACCTGTAGATTTGGGGGATTTCGTCTCTTTTTGAGGTCTCCCAAAATATGCTGAGGTGCCTGGGCCTGCCACGAAGTGCCTTTCCTTACTCACCTGGTAAGGTTGCTGGGAACTCTGTAAGCAAGGTACCAGGCTGATTTTTCCAAGGGGTTTTATTGGTTTCATAACATCAATCCTAGTTCCTTAAAGCTGTCTGGTCATATCTAAGTCTATGTATGTCTCTCTCAAATATGACATTACAGTTAAAGCCTTGGTAATAAAACCAATGTTCCAATGTGTCCTGTTACAAGAACAGATTCTTATTGAACTTACGCAAATAGCTATATTTTCATGAAAAGAATACTCACTGAGAGTTTCCAAATTCTGGAAAGATCACGTAGCAAGAAAAAGTAATTGTTTCATTTTTATTCACAAAGATATACTTTTCCAAATTGCTCTAAGTCATAGCTAGCTTAAGATAAAAAAAGTTTCCTTAAATCTGGAAAACAAATGATTAAAGATCCAGCAATGTTTCAAGCAAAAACTCATAAAAATTATAATCATCCTCATCAGTTCATTCTGTCCTATGTAATTAATTCTTGATTTTGATCTTTGATTAGCAGTTTTAGGAAGCCATCAGTTTTTCCATCAGTGTCCTGTAAATTCTTACCCAGTTCAGTGGTATAATCTGAAAGTTATCAGAAACCCATACTTCTTAGAGCCCTTTCCATGACTCTCCCTGAAGATGAAGCACTTTTGCAAAAGCATCAGAATGAAACAATAACTGTAAATGACAAAAGACTTAAAAATAGCCATGGTTAAAGATCTAATGAGCGTTCATTATATGCAATTGACAAGGAAATTTGGTTCACAAATCATTATGAAACAATAGTTATCTACTTAACCAAAGTGACAAAAACTTTTAAAGGAAAATATAGAAGGTTACATAGTTGTGAGCAATATTTAGCTCTTTGAATATTGAGAAAACTCAGTTTTCTTAAGTAATCAAAAACCCAATTAAAACAATATGAAGCCCTGCAAATTACTTTGATAAAACACAAAATCTTTGCTTTCTAGCCAGGTTACTTATAAGTAAAGAAAAACCTTTCACAATCTCTTATCAGGAGCAGATGAATACTCCAAGAAAACTTTATACTTCTATCAGATGAAAAAAATTACATAAGCATACTATTGATATTAAAGATTATTTTAAAAACCCCTATAATAGCAATCCAATTTTAGCCAACTTGACCATACATAGTAAAATTCTCTCTTTCTCTCTCTCTCCTCCCAACTTTCTATACCATTTTGTCCTTTATTTTCCTCTTTCCCATTCTGAAATAACCAGCTTTACTTTAGGACAAATTTACTTTCTTTTTCCTTTAAGTAAATGCATTTCCATATCTCATACCTTTCTTACCCGAAAACACATCCTACTTTCCTTGCATACAGAGATCTTTCCCTTATTATTTTTAGTAGTTTTAGTTACATATATTAATTATAATTCTTAACCCTTAGAAATCTTAATTTCTAGTGAAAACTAAGAAGTAAGCAACTGTCTGTTACACCAGCATTCTTTAGATTGGCAAATTTATGAATACATTTCATAATTTCTAGAAACATACATTTTCTCATAGCAAAATTTTTTAACATGGCACAAGACATGTTTACTAAGAGACCCAAATATCTTTAATTCTTCTGTAATAAGAGGTCAAAAGTAGGTAGACTTGTTTAGCAATTAATGTTTCACTATTTTATCTCATTTGGAAATGATCTAGATAGTCAGTGAATTTCCCATCATTTAATTTAACTTCGCAAAACTCTAAAGTTGCAAGTTACCAAAGAGATTTGAGAAACTGTTTTTAAGTAGACAAACCATAATACAAAATTCTTACTGAAAAGTTTACCTAAATTCTTATTCCACTTACATCTATTTAAATCACTTGTTCTTAACAATTATGTTTAGACTACTCATGAAAGCTTCATGAGACATTAGACAAAGTCAGCCATCAACCCAAGCCATTTTTCTTGCTGACAAGTTTTGGAACAGAGATAACATGAGCTTGTTTGGATAGTAAACCCAGGTAGAATAAAAGTTGCCTGTCTGCATTATATCTAATGTTGATAACTCTGAAGACATGCATATTTTAATTAAACCAACAAACTTAAACTAGCTTTTATTTACTGAAGATTATGTCAGATCATGTGAATTTGAAAAACATTTGGGTTAGTTGCTATATTTCTGAGTTTTAGGAATAGTTAATTCATAAGTGCTTTTTTAAAGCCAATTAAATAGAACTATTTTACAAATTAATTTTGGCAATATCATCCAAAGGTAGAGAGAGAGAAAAAAAATCACATATACATAACACACATCCATAGACATACAGAAACACACAGACAGAACAAACAGAGACTCTATAGCTTCCATCCCAAAATTTTAGCCATGAGTCAGGTACAACAGTATAAAACTCACTAGTTTATAAATTACATTTGAATTCAAATTTTGTCTGGCAGACAGAACAAGTTAAGGTTACCCACTCCAATGGCGAAAGCTTTTTACTAATATTTGTGGAGAAGACTTTTAAGATTTGTGTTTTTCCTTGACAAATAATCTTAAGGAGACTAGGGACTAGATTTTGGGCAAGAGAGCTTTTATAGGAATTTGTATTTTGAAAAGCCTCCCGCACCCCCTTTTTTCCCTTCAGTCTCAGGAGATTGTGGGCAGAGTTTTAGTTACCTCGTGGAGCATTTATATTTCAAAGATATGGTAAGATTTATACCTTCAAGGGACAGAGAAGAATGTAAGTTTTCTCCCAGGAGCTCAGTGCCTTTTGAATGGTTTTGGCAGTCCCAATAAAATGTAGTAGTACCATACTGGAATCAGGGGGAGCGCCCTGTAAAAATAATTCTCTGGACTCAGAGTCAAATGGGGCCTCTTCAGAGTTGGAAATGAAGAGGGGGTCACTTGAGTCACTATTGTCATGGAAAGATAAACCCATCAGACCATGCCAATTTTGAGCAGCAGGAGATGGGCCTCATCTTAATGTTTTCCATTTACTGTGAGCCTTAGAAGTAACCACTGTGATGGAAGGGTGGGCACAGTGCCAGGTAATAAATATCCAAGTGAAGAGAAGGAGGGCCCTTGTATGAATATCGGTGGCTCTAGGGAATTTTGCCTTCTCATTTCCCACTTCCTCCTTGCTAGAGGCCTTGATAACCCTGTCAGCTTTTCCCTTGGTGGCAGGACTGCCTCATGAGGGATGTTTCTTGGTTCTGCCCCATTCAGAGGAAAGCAGATGAGGCTTAAGATCCTTGGTATCTCAGAGGAAACGAGTACGTAGTTCAAATGGATCTTTAAGGAACTTATGGATTTTAGGGTCTTTAGAGATACTGGCCAGTTGATACATTTTGGCAGCCATGAGTAACAGTTCAAAGACTGTTCCAAACAAACAAGGAAATTCACAATAGCCAATGAGTTCTCCTCTCACCTTCCTGCTGCATAAAATTGTTCAGAAAGGTTTGAATTTCAGTTAAGGTATAGTTTTTATCTCAGTTTCTACTTCTCCTTTTTCTCCTGTTACCTTAATCTTATGTGTTGTTACTAGAAAATTTTGGATGACAGCACTATGAGTTCTCTTTGTAGGTGGCCACTTTCCTTTCCAGGGTGTCCTAAGAGACCTCTCTGGGATTAGGGTCTGCCTCCACTGGCGTGATATGCACAGGGTCTTTGGGAAAAGCCCCTAGACCTCTGGAGCATAATACCAGAGTCTTGGCATGTAGGTATGCATAGCATTGGACAACACCCAGGAAGCATCCATTGGGTTTTGCATTTATCAAGGAGCTAGTGTGCCTCCTTAGGGTTCTTAGAAGGTGCTGGCACCAGATGTTCAGGACATTTATATTTGTCCACCAAGTTTTTAGCAACATCATGCCAGGGGTTGGACCCACAATATTCTATTGAGTCAGGGGACAAAGAACAACAGTAATAGGGAAGTGATGACACAGAGACTGTAGGCCTCTGTTGTATTTTCCTTCTGGTGGTGCCATTGGTTTCCAGTTGCAGGGCTATTTCACTCTTCTGGGACATGTAGCCCAGACACAACCCACTGACTCAGTGGTCGCAGGTGGAGGTCTCCCGTCCTCCTCACCTACAGGATTCTTTTCCTCATGCCTTTAGCTCAGAGCCTCTCTTTGGACAGTGACAATAGGCTTGAGATCCAATCCACCCTCCTTAGCTCTCCTTGGCTTCAAGGCATGGAGGACCCTCATGTACATTAATAGTCAATCAAGGCTTTTATAATAAGCAGTCTAATCAATCCATTAGACCATGTGGCCTTGATCACATTGTTCTGGGGAGACTGTTGGATTAGTATGGCAGCTGAGACCTTTTGGGTTGGATACCACAGGCAATACACAACAGAGGCAATACGCAAAAGCACATGGCAGTGCAACAGGCCCCCAGCAAGTGGTGCTCCTTTCCCAGATGGTGTTACCCACCTGAGTTAGATGGTTAGTAAGCAAGTTGCAGGTAAAGGGCGTTCCCCTTGGTTAATCGTGAGGGCAATCATGCAATCCTGCTGACTACACCAATTGTTATGTGTTGGTCTCAGCCTATCAATAACCAATGTTGTGGCTGGACTAGCCCTTGTGGTTCTTATTATGATTGGAAGATGCCCTTCAGCAATAACCGTCAGGAAACTTGGAAAAAATAAAGATTTATTACTTACCGGACCTGGAAATTACACGGCACACCTGGGGCCATACGGTGAGGTCATAGGTAGAGAGAGAGAGAGCATGGGCCTGGGGTTTTGCTTTTATTGGGGTCAAGGGTGGAGGCCCAAGGTTTCATGGGATCACTCCTTACTGGTGAATTTAAAACATAAGAGTGGGCATTTAAAGTGCAGGAAGAGAAAAACGAGTGGCCCAAATGGTCAGTGATTGAAATCAACCAAGGTGTCTAAACCAAAGGAGCCCCAGTTGGGGGAGGTGGCCTGGCTCTCTATCTAGTCATGTGGCTGGAAATGTGTTTATTCCAGATGGCCATCTTTGAAGAGGATGCCTGTTTGAAGTGGATGCCTTAGCAAAGTCTAAGTCAGGCACTTGCATTACAGAAAAGAAAAAAATCTGTCGGGGTTTATCCTATACCCTGATACTGCATTTACTGGGGCTCTGAGGAAGCAGAGAGCTTTACTGAAATTCCTGTTGAAAAGACAATCCGTCGTTGACAGCCTTATAGTGACTTGAGCAAATGGCCAGTTTTATGATGGCTTGGTGCAGTAATCTGCCCTACGTGGAATATGGAGACTCGAGTTTTCTCACCGTGAAGTTGGAGTCAAACTTGCACAAAATTACACGGCATTTACCACCCGACCCGTTGAAACTTTCAGTGAGCTTCTCAGCTCCCACTCCATTTACCACACACTAGATCTGCAAATATGCTTGTCCTATTGTAAGTCAGAGGGATGAATCCAAGTGTCAGGAGGATAGGGCAGGATTCCAGGGCAGATAATTTCTGAACAGAGTCCTTTTTTGTTTTTTTGCTGGGAAAGATTCGCCCTGAACTAACATCTGTTGCCAATCTTACTCTTTTTCTGTCCTCCCCAAAGCTCCACTGCATAGTTGTATATTCTAGTTGTAAGTCCTTCTAGTTCTTCTATGTGAGCTGCTTCCACGGCATGGCTACTGACAGATGAGTAGTGTGGTTCCGCGACGGGGAACCGAACCTGGGCTGCCAAAGCAGAGAGCACCGAACTTTAACCACTAGGCCACCAGGGCTGGCTCTGTTTTGTTTTTTACATAGCATTGACTTTTTTTCCTTTTGGTGTATAGGTCTGAGTTTTAACACTTGTATGGATTCCTGTAACCACCACACTCAGGATACAGAACAGTTCCATCAACCCCAAAATCTCTCTCATTCCGCCCCTTGGTGGTCACACCCTACCACCAACCCTAACCAGTGATATGTTCTCCAACCCTATAGTTTCACCTTTCCTAAACTGTCACATAAATGGAATCATATAGTGTGTAACATTTTGATTTCTTTCACCCAGCATAATGCCTCTGAGAATCATCCATGTTGTTGGGTATCAATAGTTTGTTTTGTTTTGTTGCTAAAGAGTAATCCGCTACACGGGGGCCGGCCCCATGGCGAAGCGGCTAAGTGCGCGTGCTCCGCTGCTGGCGGCCTGGGCTCGGATCCCAGGTGCGCACTGACACACTGCTTGTCAGGCCATGCTGTGGCGGCGTCCCACATAAAGTGGAGGAAGATGGGCACAGATGTTAGCCCAGGGCCAGTCTTCCTCAGCAAAAAGAAGAGGATTGGCATAGATGTTAGGTCAGGGCTGATCTTCTTCACACACACACACACACACACACACACACACGCACAAAGAGTAACCACTGTATGGATGAACCACAGTTTAACTATTCACCCACTGAAAGACATTTGGGTGGTTTCCAGTTTTTGACAATTATAAGGAGAGCTGCTATAAACATTTGTGTACAGATTTTTGTGTGAACGTAAGTTTCATTTCTCTAGGTTAAAAGCTACAAGTGGGATTGTTGGGTCATGTGATAAGTGTATGAGAAATTTCAAAACTGTTTTCCAGAATGGCTGTACTATATCAGATTTCTGCCGACCACATATGAGAGTTCTGGTTGCTCCATATATGAACCAGCGCTTGGTATTGTCAGGTTTTTGTTTGTTTGCTTAGCCATTCTAATAGCTGTATAGTGGTATCTCATTGTGATTTTGCATTCCACTATTGACTAATGATGTTGACTATCTTTTCATGCATTTATTTGCTACCTGTATATCTTCTTGGTGAAGTGTCTGTTCAAGGTCTTTGCTCATTTTTTTAGTTTGTCATTTGTTTTCTTACTGTTGAATTTTGTGAATTCTTTATATGCTCTGGGTACGAATCCTTTATGTGATACGTGATTTGCAAGTATTTTCTCCCAGTCTTTTAAATTTCTTAAAAGCGCCTCTTGCAAAGAAAAAGTGTTAAATTTTGATGAAGGACCACTTATCGATTTTGTTTTTTATGGATCGTTGAGCTGGGTTTTGAAGAACATATTCACTAAGCTGACAAGGGGAGAAAGGGAGTTCTAGGCAAAGGGAGCAGCATGTGCAAAAGCATGGAGTCCCGAAAAAGAAGGCTGGGGCGGGGAATTTTAAGGAATTCAGTATTGCTGAGGAGGAGTAAGGGTGAGGAGGAGGGGAAAGGACTGGCTTACACAAGGAACCAGATCACAAAGCTCTTGGATGCTGTGCCAAGGAGTGCTGACCCTTCATCACATAGGTAAGGGAACTACCAAATTATATGGCAATTGCTTGCTTTTGTTTGGGTTAAATTTTTTATTGTAGGAGTTATATGTAACTTATTGGAGAAAAATACAGAGCAACAAAAAGACAATTAAAACCCTATATAATTCTACCACCTAGAGGGTGTTAATGGTGTTAATGGTTAACACCATTAACATCCGGGCTGGTTCTTCTATTCATACACACACACACACACACACACACACACACACGCACACACATACACATGATTTTTTTTACAAAAATGGGATCATGCCATACATACTGTTTTGTAACATTCTTTTTGTTTTTGCTTAACAAGAATATATGTGAATGAACACTTTTCCATATTATTCTTTTACGATATCACTTTTTTGGTTAAGATAAACTTTTTTTCTTTACTATATTTTTAATGTAATATTTCATGCTCTCAAATGAAAACATGTAACATTAAAAGCATAATAATATTACAAACTACCGTCTGTCTAAATGATGAGGACACAACCAACGCCATTATCTCTCTTAGCTAACGCGTATTTAGTTCTTACTATATGTCAGACGCTGTTCTTTATATGAATTAACTCTCCCCTCAAAACAATCCTCTGAGGTAGTGATACTACTATTTCTATATTACTATGGGAAAAGGCACAGAGAGTTTAACCAGCTTACCTAAGGTCACATAGGTAGTGGGTAGAGGTAGGACTGAAACTTTTAGAGATGGAACCAATAGGATTTGCTGATGGATGGACCTAGAGGACAAGAGAGGTGTCAGGGGTGACTCTCAGGTTTCTGGTTGATTGAGGGGCAGAGATGCCACTTACTGAACTGGGGAAGACAGGAGGAGGAACTGATTTAGGGGTGGGGCTAGATCAGGAACTAAAAGTTGGATGTGTTAAGGTTGAAATGCCTGTGGGACACGAAAGTGGAAATGAATGAATGACTGCAGAATTAAAAAATACATAAATGAATGAACAGATGAATGACCAACCCTGGGGGCAGGCAGACGTTCACAACACAGGAACAGACAGCTCTGGTCAGTCATGTCAGGGAAGCCATAAGCTGAAGTGTAACCTTGAAAAGGTCCACAGCTGCTTACAACAGGCCAGAGTAGAGAGACGCATAGACACACAGGATTTGGGGACAGGTCGTTTTCAACAATGTTTATCAACTACCCAGTTTTCAGCAATTGCTCTGTCCACTGTGAAGACTCCTTCTGAACCTAGGAGTGTGGTTTGTGGTGGAGACCATGTCCAGAACTGGGTCCTGCCATGGCAATACTCTGCTGGGAACAAGGCACATTCCTCAGCAGTCAGGGCGGGGGGAGGTGGAGGGATGGGGAGGGATGGGGAGGTTTCAGTCCTCCTTCTCAAGAGACAAAGGGCTCTTCATGACTTAATTAAAATGCC